AAAAGTTGCATGTTACAACTTTTTTCACTTTACAAAGCGCAGGCTATTTTAATTATTGTGATCAATTTGCGCCGTCAATCCCGGTGCATGCACGCTTCATTTGCAGTCTGGACGCTGAGGGTAAACATCCTGCGGCTCTGACTGCAGCGCTGAGAGGGACTCCTGCGGGAGCGGGAGAACGGGGTTGGGATGGGGGAGGCGCCCCACGGCAGAGTAGGAACGATACATGCTTTCACGTAAGAGTCTCCAAAAGCCACCAGTGACGCCGTAAAAAGTTGCCAGATTTGTCGCTAGTCGCTTTTTTGAAAAATAGTCGCTGGAGAGGTCTGAAAAGTTGCTGAGTTGGCAACACTGCACCTGCGGCGCTGGCTCGCTTTGCTGTATTTATTTTCTGCCCCCGTTTCAGTCAAGTGGATGTGGTGACGGCGGCCGCGGATGATGCATTAATCGCGCGACACAACTAATCGATGACAAAATTCGTTGCCAACGCTTTTAAAAATCGATTTTTATCGATTCGTTGTTGCAGCCCTACTTATAATGTTTAATGCTTTACTCGTAGCAAAAAGGTATTCACAGATTTAAGAACACCTTACTAGCAGATGAGCATGGTGGTGGCAGCATTAGGCTTTGGCACTGTTTTGTTTTGTGGCATAGATACATTAAATTCAATTCAAGAATACTTTATCTATCCCAAAGGGAAAGTCAGTTTCGGTACAACCCATTTAAGGGAGGGACCTTGCTGCCATCAGAGGCGTTGCTCTTTCATGGCAGCACTAACTTAAATGCTCTAAGTCAGTGGGAAATTGAAACAGAAGTCATACCTACAAATTCCTCAACTTCAGTATCAATTGATGCTTAAATCTCGGGCACAACTTGGTATTCTAACTGGACAAAAGTCCCATACAAACATCAAACTGGATTTGGAAATCCCTCTTCCCTACAGCATCTGAAAAAAGGCATTTCATTTGAAAGGATGGGTCTGTTTCTGTGATACACCAGAGAGCAAAGCAAGACTGTGGTTCATGATGGAAAAAAAAAGGTTCTTATTCGTTGTTTGTGGTAATGAAGGCTGCAGTCAGCTGTTGAACTCCAGCATCAACTTAGATTGCTGCAGGAGATCCTTCCTGCTCTTAGCCTCGCATTTCTATGCTAAAATAGTTTGTGAAAGTTGACTCAATATGTTAGTTATGTGCACTTACCTTTAAAGCTTAATGCATAATTTTTACTTTGTGTAGTTTCTCAATAAACTCAAACATTTTCCATCTTAATTCTTTTATAATCAGCTTATTAGTGGTAAGAAATGTGTCCAAAATATAAATTTGTCATCAGTGAATGGTAACTTCTGAGCAGAACCGTATTTGCTGCTGCAGAACTTGTAAAACCACTTGTCAGTTTGTATAGTCCAAGTATAAATGCACTAGTTGTCTTGCAAAACGAAATAAGAAATAAGTAAAAAGTTTTAATCCTTAATTTGAGTAGATCAATAAGATGGTTTGCCAATGGAATCAGATTTTTTGCTCTTAAAATAAGATAATTAGATACCATGCACATGAAATAAGACAATGCAATTGTGTTTTCTTATTTTAAATGTAAATTGTCTTGTTCCACTGGCAAAGCGTCTCACTTACTCCTCAATTAAATAAAAAGTGCACTCATTTTAAGAAAAAAAATACTTATTTAGATTTACATGTTTTGCAGTATGACTTATTAGCTAGTTTAAGCTGTTAAACCACATTGTTTTTAACTTTTTCTGGTGTTGAATGTACATATTATAACATACTACAAGACCCTAAAATATGCCAGCATGGTTCTGAGGGACTGAGGGGAAAAAAATCTCACTTAATGATCTCAACTTAAATGACTTTAATGGATTGAAGTCATAACACTTTACATAACATCCAGAGAAGCCCAAGTAAACCATATTGAAGTTCATAAAAGCAAGAAATGCTGAGGTTATAGTTGCAGCATAGAGATGTTAAGATTAACTGGAGCTGTAATTGTTGACCTTTGGGTGCTTATGACTCAGTTATGAGTCATCATTGTGGTTTCTCAGTGCATTTCTTTCTAATATAGATAGTATACTTGACAGACATCTGAGTGTTTCTGAGCTAGCCATGCTCAAACCTGCCTTCCAATTACATCCTAGATGGTCTGATGTGTTTCACCCCTGAAACCTAAAGGCGGTCCATTCCTGTGACTCAGCTGTAGAGGAGCTGTGCCCCAGGACTCAGAAAACTCAACAAAAATGTCAGGAAATGATAGGTGTGAGCTGATTGTAGATCTGATTGTAGATATTGTGAGGTTTAACAACATGTTACTGGGAAACCTTAGCTTCCTTGGAACCAGTGGTGAAATGAGGTCATGGGAAAGAACTGAAAGGTTTCCTCTTCCTCGTCTCCATGAATTGAACTGTAAATGCTTGAAGGGCTCCCTCGGGATGAGCTCATGTGGTCAGTATTTATGACGGCAACTGTAAAAGCCAGCCTTCATTCTTTCACGCTGAACATTATTCAGATTGTTTTGGGTTTTTCTTTAGGGACACTCCATGGAAATGTAATCAAGGGATTTGATCAATTTTCCTATAAAAACTAGAGGTGAGGGCTCTCTCCCTGCGATGGTTTGATAAACATGTTATTATAAGCTTCTCTTTTTTTAACATTCCTATGTGTGGCTCAATATATTGGATAGAGAGCATTTTATCTCAGCATGTGTTCATCTTGTAATATTGGTGTTTATTTTCTGTTTCCAGGTGACCGTCAATGATACAGGAGTGAGGGGGATGATCGCTGTCGGTTTGGTTCCTCCATCCCACAAACTGGAACATCAGCCTGGCTGGCTCCCACACTCTGTAGCTTTCCATGCTGATGATGGCAAGTATGTCATGATTATCTTTTTAATCTTTAAAATTTGTATAATTTTTTTAGAAGTAAAAAAATCTTCAATGCAGTGCTCATCGAGATTCATCCCTGTTTAGCCATATATTAAATCCAGTCCAACCAAATACCTGTAGAAGTCGCCTAATTAGAGCTTAATAATAGTATTTGAATTGGCTTATTATCCAATCGAGATGTTGGCTGCAGGCCTTAGAGGTTTTTTGAAGGGTATTAGTAAGTAAGCAGCATCATTGAAGACCAAGAAAAAAAAAAAAAAAACTGCAGACAAGTCAGGGAGGAAGTTGTGGACATTTTTAAAATGAGGGTGAAGTTTTAAAATGATACCAAGCTTTGAACATCTCGCTAAGCTCTGCTGAGTCATTTAAAAATGGTAATGGTATAGAACAGTTTATAAGTCACCAGGATATGACCCGCTAGCTAAACCAACCAATAAACACAGAGAGCTTGAATCAGAGCAGCAGCCAAGGGTTCATGGTAACACTAGCTGCAAAGATTCACAGCTCAGGTGTAAGAACCTGTTGACTGAACAACTCACTCATTCACTCCGAAATCTGGGCCTTTGTGGGAGAGTGGCTATAAAAGCATCCAAGGCTGCAGATATTACATATCTGACCTGAAAACTTATGTTCAACTTGACTGAGCTTGAGATATTTCCCATTAAGAATGAGCAAAAATGTCAATTTTTTTCTTTCCCTTCAGTCATCCATCAGTTTTTGTTGGTCTTTTACATTAAATCGAAATGAAATACTTTGAGGTATGCTTTTTTTATGTGGTTGACTCAAGGGGCATTTATTCTGCACACATTTACTGCTCTATTTTACTTTGTGTGTCCTCAGAATACCTCCTTTTCTCCTTGTCTGTTTTTTTTTTTGAACATTAGAAAAAGGACCTGTCAGATTAATACATTAACCTGTCCTACATAGGTGTATAAACTACTCAAAAACAAAAAGTAAAAGTAGAAATACCTAAACCAAAAAAACTACTTTGCTAAAAGTGAAAGTCAGTGATACGAGATGTAGTAGAATAAAAGTAAGAAAATTGTATTTTTGTACATAAATCTACTTTACTTGGGTTTAAGTATGAAAATATGTAGAATGGCATGCATCCAGCTGTCTGCATGAGAAAACCAATTCTCTGCAAAATTACAATGAAATGCTTCTGCCCTTTTTGAAGTGCATTGTATTAAAATAACTTCCAAGAAAAAAACTAAATGTTTCACTCCACTTTGCCACCAATAATGCAATGGTTTACAGCTACATTGGGGTTTTCAGCTTTTAACACAACATTTAGCATTAAATTTAGCCCTATAAATAACTTTTTAACCCATCTAGAGAAATAAAGAAATTAACATTTCTATTTTTAAAGGGACTTATTTAAAGAAACAAAACAAAAAAACTGGGCAAACAATGCTATGCGTTATTGCCACTGACCAGTAAAGAGTGTGGACCAGGACAGGAATAGCGCAGTTCTTCCCCTCTTTACATGCATATTCCATGTATTCGTTCCTTTCATGGAACATTCAGGTCAAATCATTATTTGTATTGAGTAACAATGTTTGAGTAAAGCAGTAAATTACAATTTTAATGTCTGTAATATAACAAAATATACTCTGTAAAGTATAGATCGTCAAAAAAAATTACTTACTGTAAGTACTGCAATGATGTAAATATAGTTAGTTACTATACACCTGTTCTCCTATGCATCTGTTCTCCCTACAGGCTCTATAACGGGAGCACTGTTGGACAGCAGTTTGGTGCCAAGTGCTGCAGAGGGGACAGAATCGGCTGTGGAATATCATTTGACTCCGATGATGGACAGATAACAGTGTTTTTTACAAAGAACGGTGAAGAAGTATGTGTCCTTTTTTTTTTTTACTTCCATTTCCTTCTGCACTTACAAACCGTACGAGTTGTCCCTAAATATGTCTCATCTCCACACGTTTTAGATCGGCCGTGTTGACATCCCAGCATCCGATGACCTTTACCCTGCAGTAGGGATGCACTCATTAGGGGAAGAGGTGGTTTTGGACCTGAACGCTGAATGGAGGGTGGAGGATGATGATGGACAGATGATTGTTGATAGTCATGAAGAGGACTGGAGCCGTCTCCATGACGTCAAAGTAACTGGCACAGTAAGTGGATGAAAACACAGCACTCCCTGAGGGGAAGGACTTAATTTCTCTGAGTCTCATGGTTTTTTATGAAAAAAATGTGATGTTGAATTAGAGGAAGACAAGCCTCAACATGAAGATAAAAAAGAGAATAATATATTAGCCTTTCCATTATCAGGCTGAATGTATAATTTAAGTGTTGTTTAAAAGGGTAAAGTCTATTAACTATGCTGATTCTTTAAATCCAGTAATGATGTTGAAAGCCTTGCACACACCCCAAGTCTGCATCTTAATATTTCAAAAGGCTTTATTCTAAAAATTAAAAAAACTCAAGCTATTTCTAACATTTGAGATTTAACAAAACTAACATTCTGTCTCTTGCAAAAGTAACCTGGACCTTTTAACCCAAGTTATAACAACACAGATTTAATGATAATGAACTGAAATGTCGAGATTTTTAGCTAAGTTGATAATTTTAACAACAAAAAAACCCTCTTTAGTCTCCACTGCGACAAAGCATGTAGGTTGTGAGTCGACTGTAACTGCTGCGGGTTTCATGTCGGGTTCTTCATACTTGGAGCCTTGTCTCTCTCTGACCTTACCGCTGCTAGTCTGTGGGACAGCACAGCCAACTTTATAATTTTTATATGATAAAGATTTTTGCCCAATGCGATGTCAGTACCAATTATGTATACTTTTACTAATCATCTTACACTGTAAAATGATATAAAAGGCTTGATCAAGCGATAAAACCCAGAGAGTGACAGCCAGCAACAATGGGTATGAGAACAACTTACCCATTTGTTATTAATCAATGGGTAACAATTTTGATTTCTTGGAATGCACTTTACCGTGCCATAGTCACGTTTCTGAAGACAATCACAATAGTGTAAACTCATCCTGAGCACCACATGGACTGGATAGCCGTACCCTGGCGTGGTTAAAGCTGTTGGTTTTGTCACAGCCACCATCACAGCATAATAAGCAGGAAGAGAGGATGAGACATAAGAGAAATTAAATCACAGTATTTATCTCTGCTGCTTAAGTGTACTTACCAGAACGATGAGGTGTTTAAAATATTTTTTTTAAGAATGAAGAATCTAGTAGGAACATCCTTGTGCAAAGTGTTTGTTGTGAATAGGATTGAGTTTGTACTTACCAGTCAATGAGACTGATTTTTATGTATTTATTTTTTTTGGACTGGACCAGCAGTAGGAATGCTCAAAGAATGGCCTGTCTATAGTTTAGCTGCAACAGAATGTGTTTAGTTTTGGCTGTAAACTGGACCCACCTGCTGGTCCTCTTCCTCTCTCCTGGATTTCCGGCCCAGAGTTATCCTGATTAATTCTGCCATTTTCAATGCTGTTCCAAAAATGTGACAACCTGTCAATGTAAAGTAGCAGGCGTGTGCTTAAGGATCTGCAGGTGGCGCCTCCTCAGCTTACCTCATTGTATAGCCTGAATACACTCACATGGTGGGGTTTATGCTTCTGACCAGGCCAGCTGACAGCTTTGCTAGGCCCCGGGACAACACATATTTCCCTTCCAATGTGGGAATGGGTTAGATGCTTGGCCCTCTGAATCTGATGGCAGTTAATTTGCCATCTCTTTGCTATTAAACGGGTCATAGAATGATTATATAGGGTATTTGGTGCTGGTCCTTAAGGTCTCTGAATAGGGTGTAACATTGGTTGAGCTGAAAATGGCATTTTTGCTGTTCTATGAGCCCTTATGCAAGCCTGGTTAAAAGCCCCAGAATGAACTGACAGGTTTTCTTCCTTTTATGATATGCTAATGAATATTTAGATGAGCTGGGCACTGATTGGTTGGTTCACAACGAGCAAAGCTGCTGAGAAACGACGCATCATAGCAACAAGGACTAACTCACTGAAACAGGAAATTGTGTTGATATGGTTGGGTGACCAGACGTCCTCTTTCCCCCAGACATGTCCTGCTATTATACCTAAAAAATGTCCGGGGGGAATTTCAAAATCGTCCAGGATTTTGGTCAACTACAGTACAACCCTGCCCCAAACGCTTATTTTTCTGACTAATCCAATCAGCGCATCTCTGGCAACCAGTCGCCTGGAAGGCTCGTTTAACAGAGCATCGCTTTGAAAAGATACGCACAGGTTTCACAAGCAACCTCCTCCTCACACCCTGCTCTCTCTTGTTGTGCCTGTGCAATCGAAGTAGTTCTAATTCACACATAGTGCACAAATTATTGTATTGCCTGCGCGCTTTTCCTCGCAATAAAAAAACAGCCTTGCATAGTCTAAAATACGGGAGACTTGGGATGTCTGTTTTGCACCAAGCTCAAGTATTTCTATAAAAGAAAATGTGTTTTCTCCCTTACACTAGCTAGTGGAGGCTATATTTTAAAATCACATTGATAAACACATTGCTTGTTACCAGGCTCTAAATGGGCATCATTCTTCTGCAATTCCATTCCTGGACCTTTTCCTGACTCATCCTCAGTTTATTTTTAATATTTAATCAAAAAATCCTTCTGTGAAAACCTGACATTCTTAGTTTGCAGCAAAACAAACTTTATAAGTTGCTGCCCGCTGTTCTCCTGGTCAAACCATTTTATGTTGGTGTAGGGGGAGTTCAAATGGCCCCTTATAAGGAAAAAATATTACATATACCTAATGCAAATATATGTATATTTAGTTACTCTAATATTAAATATTTTTCAGTGTAAATTTTGGGCCCCCCTCTGTCCCGGGCCTGGGACAATGGACCCATTTATCCCCCCTATCGGCAGGTATGCTTCCGACACCCAATCGTTTGGCAAAAGGGTGGTAGCGATGTTGACATCTTGATTCTTCTGACCAATAACTATTAAAATGTCTTCAAAAAGTGTCTTGCCAAATCTTAATAAAAAACATAAAACTCAGACAGATGTTTCTGGGGAGTTGAGATAGTTCTTGCTAATATTTGGTGAGACGGATAGAGCCCTTACACAGCTCATTCTAAAAGGAGCTCAAAATATTAAAAAAAGGGAGGTGGTTAAATCTTATCTAAGAGTTATTTTGTGCTGAAATATTTTAATATGTTTTATATTCCCTATAGAACTATCCTACATGTTCCAAAGGAAGCATAATTGATCCCCATTAAGCATTTTCCATATGCTTTAAATGGGGTTAAAGTCAGGGAAATGCAATGTTAGCTTGCTTTATCTTGTCCACAAGCAGTGTTGGGGTCATTTGTGGACTTACTGTCCCATTGAAACACGAGGTTGTGATTTCAAACATCTTGCTTCTTAGAGAGAAGCTAAAACATTTTGAGATATTCATGATTTATTCCCACTACCGTGGTTGATGCTCATAGTTGACAGTCGCTGTAGTGCGCTTAGGTTTAAAACCCCACCTTTTGTCCTTTTAAAAAAAGCAGTGCAAGTTATTTTCTTTTCTGATTGTGAATGTTTGTACTAATCAGTTTCTGGTTTTCCAGGTGGGCAAATAAAAATTTCGTTTTTTACTTGAAGCTGTCTTTTTTTTTTTGTAACAAGGGCTTTACTCTTTATTGGCTTCTTCTCAGTCCACTTTTACCATTGGAAACAGGCTTTCTGCTGCTAATGAGACTTTGGATACATTCACACTGCAGCCTGAAATGACCAAAATCAATTGGGGTTTTTTCCCCCTATGCAACCTGTATCATCTGATCTTTTCATGACAGTCTACAGATAGATAAATAAATAGATAGTTTATTAATCCCTGATAGGGGAAATTCACCTGTCCTATAGCAAAGATAGCGATCATCCAATCTGAGCGTCAATAATACTCAACAAACATCACTATTCTGCTTCCTGCAAACATAGAAGCAGGAAGAAAAACAATCATGGTTGACGATAATCTGGAGAACAGTCTTTATTTTTGTTCTTCTTAAAATGATGCCGTTGTTAATGGTTGGAAAGGAAATGAACAATCAGTAGATGTGCTCCAGCACTACCATTCACGATTACATCCGTAAAAACAGAGCATGCTTGCTACTTGTGATGTCATTGCGTCCTCTACTGCTCATGCAGGACAGTTAAGTATGAATGCACTTCGAACAGGAGACATCGGATGATTACATCTTATTTATGTGTTTTCTTTAGTAATATTTTCTTTTAACTTTAAATACTAACATTCAGCAACTATTTGGAAGTGTTCAATTAAAGGAAGCACCAACAGTTGCTATAAATGTCTTCACACAGAGAGATTATCACTTATGAAAGCCTTCTAGAAATAATTAAACCTTTGAATAATCTGACCTGCCCCAGATTGTTTATCAATCCTCAACCACAAACATGCTTAAGGCTCGTTTCTGCTCAAAAAACAGGTCGTCTGTGTGTGTGTGTGTGTGTGTCGCAGTTAACGCAGATATGCCCCCGCCCCTTCCTCAGACACTCTGCTGCACCTCTCCAAAATTGTGGGTGACCACAGACAGTGCTGCAGACATGAGGCCTTTGATTGGTCAAATCTACATCCGCTCTACACTATGAGTATTTCCTGTTCGGTACCTTACCGGCTTTTTTTGTTTTTATGACTGCCATTGCAGAAAACGACTCTTGAATTTGGACCAGCTAGAAGAACGAGGTGTGCAAGAACGCTGAGACCCTTTTTCCTCCTGGATCCCCGCTCCTTTTCACCCTCATGTCCCTCTGTTGTCACACAAACTTGCCCCCACTTCCTCACCGCCTCTGCCGTATCTAGACCCACAGCTAGTTCGTGATCATCCCTCTTGCGTTGTGATGTGGAATAACAGCGCAGACCACGCTTCAATATTGGGCATAAATCAAAAATATCTGAGTCATACCTGCGATAAGCTCACTGCAACACACTGTTGCGGGAGTATAACCAGCCCTTTAGATTGGAAGGCAACCCTGGATATGTGTTGAAACGTCTTTAAAAAACTGAGCAGAAAACTGGTTGTTTTTCAATTTTAGCTTGTTTGTGGTTGCCATGACCCGGATGACTGAGAATTTACACAGGCATCTTATCAGTCATCAGTTTTTGAGAACGGAGCAAACATGCTGCTGCTTATTCTACCTACAAGACAGATTGTTGCTTAGAAACGCATCAAATTTAGTTTCAGAGCTTAACAACAGTGAAACTGTCATATATTAGATGGGCTTCAGATAATACCAGTGATACCAATCAGAGCTCTACTTTTTTCTTTAATCTCACAGTTTGGTTGTCACTGCTGCTGCAGTGTGCAGAGATCCCCGGATCACAGCAGCGGATCTATAGGAGGAGAAGCAACACTGAGTCTATAATAATAATAAATGCACTCGGATCAAGCAGGCTAATATCAGGCCTTTGGAACGGATCTAACAAATCCCCAGAATCAAACCAGCTTAAGATGAGATTAGGTTTTAAACCTTAGAACACAGCTCAATGCAGTGCATGGTGGTGATAATATTATGCTGTGGGGCTGTTTTGCTGCTGGAAATAGTGGTGAATAGCAAAAGATAGGTGTAATTATTTAGGAGAAACGTGTTCCCAACTTATGTTTTTCAACAGGAAAATGAATCTATAATAGTTCCCTTATCTCTACAGAAATATTTTATTTAATGTCATCATAGGCTCTTGGAGGAGCAAATGCTTCCTAGCAGGCTGTTGGAAGCGAACAGTTAGTTCAACGTATGCCTTGTCAGTTTGCCTCTTTAAGTTAAAATGTTAATTCGTCTGAAAAATTACGCAGCTATGAAATGTGTAAAAAATACAATATGTTTAATCTTACTGTACAAATGACACAAATAAAGGTTTTCTCTGTTCTTAGGAGAGCTAGACCGTAGCGACACCTTCAAGCTGCCAAAAGGCTCCATCAGTGCATCTTCACTTAGAAAGACAGATGTTGTTCAACAGGAACAGCAACAGTTAGTGTCTGTATACGGCATGTTGTTTTTCCTACAGACAGGAATTTTTTCATTTAGAGTTGATTTAACTTGCTAATACCTTATTTATACTAACCTTTTTCAAACCGTGCCGAAAACGGTCCGAGCACAGTAATCGAGATAACTGTTGAGTGTAAATGGAACGCAACTGAACTAGACTGTCCCGGAAACAATCGAACCCTGCTAAACTAGTATTAATTCAACAGTACCCCTATTTACACTATCCCTCTGGAACCCATCTGTGCCAAGTTCAGACTGAGCTTGGATCAGTTAACCGTGCTGAGCTCTGTTCCTTACGAGCGTTTACACATCACGCTAGCACTACTGCTCTCTAAGAGTATCAAGCAAATCAACATGGCGGTGCTCGTAACATTTAGGGAGTTTGGTTATAATTGTGATATTTCATTATTTGCTGAGAGTCAGGCAAAGAAGGCACCCTTTGATGAATTTACTTGACAGAGTATGGGAAGTGGATAAGACAAATTATAGTCTAATCAGGGCTTACAGACACATAAAACAATGGCAGACTTAGAGGTTCATTACATTGCTAAGCAGAATCATCATTGCAAAATAGTGTGGCATGGTATGGAAGCTAGTATTTTTATGAATGTCTGAAATTTCATGATTATGGAGGCTGACTATAAGGAGATAACTAGTTCTCCTCGTGCTCTCTTTGTTATCTGAGAACTAAGCCAGAACTGAACCGTGCGGAACCCTAGTGATGGACTACCACTAGTTTAGTGCGGTTTGGTTGTGTCTGGCATAGTTCGGTTCGGTTCAGTTTGCGTGCCATTTACACTCAACAGTTATCTTGGTTACTGTGCTTGGACCGATCTCAGCACGGTTTAAAAAGGATAGTATAAATGGGGGAATTAGGGTTAGGAGCGGTTCTGTTTTGGCTCAGTTTTCTGATATCAGAAAATGCGTGAGCAGACCGCCTCATCTCCTATTTCCTGGCTTTTCCGGCATGTCCAGCTATGCATTTCACACGTGTCTTCACAACACAAACTTTTTCTCAGCCTACTAACAATAAATGGCACCAAAAGGGCGGGGTTTGACCTGGGATGATGCAGAGACCTAGAAGGATGCCTTCTTCACCTTACATTCCACAATTGATGAAATCTCACTAATATAATGTGAATGTTACAGGCGAGCCATTTTTGTTTGCGTAATCCCCGCCTTGAGAGCTGTAGTTTCGTGGACCGCCAATAGGCGGCGAGGAACCGTGCTGGCGTGATTTGTAAGCGTTTGATGAACCAAGCTCGGCATAGTTAACGGATCCAAGCTCGGTCCGAACTCGGCACGGATCGGTTTCAGAGGGGTAGTGTAAATGGGGCCTGATTTCAGCTAAAGCAGGAGGTCTGACTAGATGTCATCCGCCAAAACTCTTTAAGATTTATTTGATTTCACAAAAAAAAGATAAAATATTTGTGCTTCACGGAGGTGAACTGTTATATTTGTAATTTTAATCGGTAAAATCTGTTGCCTTTTAACAAACTTTACTGTCCCGCAAAAGTCATCTTCAGGGTTTCTTTCGTTTTCTTTTTAAATTGAAATAAATGTGTTAATGATCTGTTTGTAACTTATGGGTTTCACTTGATGTTTGTCTACATTTGTCGCCTATGCACAGCTGCTGGAGTACACGGGGAAAGGAAAGAGCATTGTAGATGTAGGCTTGGCTCAGGCCCGTCGACCTCTCAACCCTCGCTTCCACTACTTTGAGCTGGAGATCACAGATGCTGGAGAGAAGTGTTACATCGCCCTGGGGCTGGCACGCAGGGTAAGAGCCTCTGCTTTTTAGCAACAATGGCCTGAATAAATTGTTCAAATATAATAGCATGCTTTTAAAAAATCAGAATATTGTGAGAAAAAAAAAGCTAACCCCTCTTGTTATTCAAGAAAACTCCTTATATAAGAGGAAACTTTGTTTTTTAGATTAATAATGTGTTAGTATATCAATAAGATATATCAAATCATTAATGCATAACTTGCATCCTTACTCCACTTTCTTCCTCAAACACCTCAGCATCCCTCTCCCTCATATGCACCTCTGCTGTCAGTGTTTCCAGTGTACATGATGTACGACCGAAGGAGGAAAAGCTAACAACTGAATAAATATTGGCTCATATTAGCCCCATGTCTGTTTTTCCATCAAAAAGCTGTTTCTTCCATTTACATGTTGAATCACTATGCAGGGGACTGATGGTTCAAAATGCCAACTTTGGCAAAGACATGAGATCTGATTGTCGATTTATTTCCTTGTGTTTAATAAGGAATAAATGGGGGTAGAGGAGAAAACATTAGATGCGTATATCATTTTCCCACTTATAAAATGGTGTTAAGTGATGTTTATTGTGGAAATAAGCCTTGTTGAATGTTTTCAGTCATTCATATCAAATGAAATCATCGTTTACATTGAGCACATCCTGTTATAACATAAATAAAATGCTGAAGTAATAGCTGAGGTGGGGAGTTAACAGTGTCAGGTGTTTGTGTGTGCGTATAGGAAGGTTATGAAATGGGATGTTGCTGCATGCTTTCGCTTGCTGTTCTCAACTGTTTGGCTCTGATTCAGCATCAGTCATCAGAGCCACGGCGCTTCTCTGCCACCACAGCCTGGGAGATGATGAATTATGGCCACAGACGCTGCCGGAGCGAAGATCACCTCGTCTCCTCTGCTGTTAGTTACTCTGTGCAGGCTTGTTCTACCCTCAGGTCAGACGGTGTAGAGAATGGGGCTCTGTCATTGGGCCGATTATTTTCCAGGAATTGTTTTTCTTGCCGTGTCTGTGGTTAGTTGAGGAATTATAAATCCATCAGATGGTGATTCCTTACTGCTTCTCCTGTAAGGCGCTTCAGTCTGCTGATGGGAAGCATTACCTCCTGCTGTAAAAATCAAAACAATGGCATCTTTTTTACTTGCAGAGTAACATGAGCTTAGTGGTTTTGGGAATACATGAGCAATTGTTTATAGTGGATTCCTTTTACCTTTTCGTCCATAATGGGAAAGTGTCAGTGGGTTATTTTGTTGAAATCACTCTTACCCCTTATGACTGAGCCTTTTTTTTTCCAAAGGTGTTTTTGACACTGAATCGTAGCCATTCTTTCTTATTCTCTGTCTTTTTTTTTAACCATGACCTTAACTGGGCTGACCGAGTCCTGCGATGATCTGGATATTGTTTAGATTTTTTGAAACTTCTTAAATGAGTCATTTATGCGCACTTGTAGTTTTAATAGCTCAGCTACTCCTGATGGCATTCATCACTTCTCTTTTTTTCTCCGTCATTGACAGTGATTGTGTTTCTCATTTCTTCTTAAAGGTTCTTTAGATTGGGACGTGATGGGTTTCTATTTAAGATCTGCACACAGTAGAGCAGGAGTATCCTGTAAAGAGAACATTTGAATTACCGATTGCATATTATGCTGCTCTTGTAGTGTACCTGGAACTGATGTTTGGATTATTCTCTTTCACATCTCTCTTCTCTCTCTTGCCCACTTCAACAAAACAAAGCAGTCATTAATATGTTTTAACAGGGTCTCCTTGCTTCTATGAACAGAAGGTGTGTTTGTCATCTCTCAAACTCTGTTGGTGTTCTGGCACATGAAACCCATCCTCAGCTCCATCCACGTTGCTAAAAGGTCCGCTGTTGATTGGCTTTCCTGTTTGTATGAAAACAGAACAAAGCTTCATATAAGAAGCAAGGAACTGGAACCAGCTTAGTTGTATCACTGCCTCCAATGTATTTAGTATCATTTAAGGATTCCGTTTTCCATTTTTTTTTTTTTTTTTTTGTATCCGTTTCACTGTTTGGACCAGTTTATGATAAAAGGTTAATGATTATGACCTCTGATCAGACCAACAGCATTGCTTCTTCTAGCCGTCATTGCGGTGGCTTCTCGCTATGAATTTCACTGGATTAAACCAGTAAACTACATGTAGGATGCTGGATTGAACCTGAATGACCCCTTACTGCTTAGAAGCAATAAACATGTTGAATGATGATGCAGTTTTTTTTTCTGTTTAAGCAAAAAGTCATCTCCAAAGGGTTTAAGAGCTTGACTTGGTTAAATGAGACACTTTGGATATTTTGTTCTATGGATTTCTTTTTCTTAAGCTAATTTGTCTTTTGATTTGCAGGACTACCCAAAGGACAAACATCCAGGCTGGAACAAAGGGTCCATAGCTTATCATGCAGGTGAATCATGTCCGATCTGTCTGTTCATGTTCTATATATTCTTGACTTAACTGCAGTTTCAATAGCACTACCAGTGAAACTCAATTCTCACTTTCTGAAAGGTATGAAATCACACAGAAAGCGCTCTTGCACAAGAGAAGAACAAAAAGCAGAGATTGAAGTGTTTTGGATGACGGCACAGGCCGTTGCCTGGTTAGCAGTAGGATGGATGTAAACATTGCTAAGAGGACATGTGAAAACTAGCTCCATAATGGCCAGGGTGTGGGCAGCAGGTCAGTCAGCTCTTTTCCTAAGGCCTTTGATTGATTCCTGTTCACCCGGACTGTTGACGACAGCGATGCCAGGCTCTGCTCCTGCTGAGGAGTTTCTGGGCACTGGAAGGAAAACTATGAAGGTTTCTTTTTTTAAGACAATTTAAGTGACAAAGTAGAGCTCAAAACATGATCTATGATCTACTTTCAAATATTTCTGAGCAGCAGACTCCAGCATCCTGGCGGGTGAAGGTTCTAGAAATCCAGGCTGCCAAGATTTCCTGCTGCCTAAAGTCAACATAAAGCATTTTTTTCAGTTTGTGATTAAAATCTCCAAGTAGCAGAATATAAAATAGAATATTTTTAGGTTTTTACATTAACTTTATTTAGGTATAAAATGTTTTCACTGAAATTTAGTAAGAAAATATTTTATTGGGTGGTATTGATGATTAGAGGACTTTTTATTTATAGATTTAAAAAAAAAAACATTTTCCTAAATTTCTTTAATCCCAGTACAGTTTAACCTCTTATACATGTTCAAGGTGCGCATCCACCTTAGACTCATTTAGAGCAGACATCCCTGACCCACAGAAACCTCTTTGGTGCTTCAAGGCGTGGTTCCAGTTCTGTCCAACAGTGTTAACTCTTTGATTAACTCAAAGGGTTTAATAAAAAAAAAAAAAACCTTTTTATAATTGTTTTCTTCCATTTAATTTAAAAGCCAATAAAGTTGTTTGATGTGAACTAAGTAAACCACAATGTATTTCGGGTAATTTCAATATTCATATCCTGACTGTATGGATTGAAGTCGGATATCTCATTTTTTTTCTCATCAGTACTCACTGAGTTTGGCACTATGAGTTTAACGGCTTCCTTGTTGATTGCAGATGATGGGAAGTTGTTCCACGGCAGCGGGGTCGGGGACCCCTTTGGGCCACGCTGCTTTGAGGGAGACATTATGGGTTGTGGGATCATGTTTCCACGTGATTTCAACATCGATGGCGGAGGTGAGGGTTTTGTCTCCTTTTCTACACCACCTTGATCATCCACATGTTGGCTCAATCATCCTGATGGGGATCTCATAGACGATTAGGAACGGGAATCAAAAACCGGTTCCTGTTCAGAATCGGTTCCATGTGTTCAAATTCCATGGCACCGTTTGGCAGCTCGCTTAACATTCCTCTTAACGGTTCCAGGCAGCACCAGAGACTAACGCTGGGTGACAACCTACGTCACGATTTTTGCACATGTTATGCACATGGCATTCAGTAAGCAAGTACCACGTGACCAGGCATAAGTCTAGAAAAGCAAAACAAAAGCACTCAAAGCAATCGAAAGTTTGGCTTCATTTTAAAGAAAAGAAAGATGGCAATAAGGCGCTTTGCAATCTTTGCAAAGTGGCAATTACAATCGCGGGAGGAAATGCATCCGACATGCAGAAACACAACATGGCATACATTTTACAGAATGCCGTGTTTTTAATGCTTCCGGATAGAAGCTAAAGTTACGACCAGCATGGAAGGCAAGTAGCTAGTTTTATATCACTGGCTGTGCTTAATGTGGTTTCTAGTTAATCATATGCCATTTCTGGAAATAAACCAGTCTTCTACGAAGTTGCTACACAGTTTAGGGAGCGAGAGAAAGGTGACGCTCATTTATTTAAATCAGGGGGAGATGAGTTTATCTCTCCGAAATTGTACAGTAATGCTTTTTCATTAAACGGATGCCTTCTCCATTAGATTTAGATGACTGTGAGGAGACGGGTAGCCTGGCTGGCTCAGAGGCTGGCATCTTCCGTTCACTGCCTTCTGTTTTATCCGAGGCAGGCAGAAATAGAATGTCCCAGGCGAAGGTAGACGAATGTCACCGTGCACTTACCAAGTTCATTGTTACACAGAATCGATAAGGAATCAAATAATTTCGCAGAATCGATAAGGGAATCAGAATTGTGAAAATCTTATCAACTCCCAACCCAACAGATGACGGTGATGACTGGGACCTGGATGTGGCTTCAAGGCCCAGTGAGGTGCAGAACAACCTGTATGCAAACAATGACGAGGAAGAGGAAGAGGAGGGGGAAGACGTAGATGGGAGGAAGGTCATGGTGAGTTTCTGTCAGATTATAAGAATATAAAATTAGGGAGCTGTATGCTTTCAGAACATTTTCACACTGCTTGTTTTCCTGCTTTTGTGTTGGAACAGGTGTTTTTTACTCGGAACGGAAAGGTGGTGGGAAAGAGGGAAGTGATCTTGCCACCCAGCGGTTTCTATCCCACTATTGGGATGATGAGCACTGGGGAGAAGGTCAGAGTTGAACTGCATCCCCTCAGCGGTTGACTGAAGGCTTTGGGTGATTAAGGATTCCTCCAAATCTTCACTTTACATGCTGGCGAAAAGATCTGCAAAAGAAGATCTTTATAGCCGTCATTTGTGCCTGAAGAAACAGCTTTATGAAATGTCTTTTGTACTGTAAGAAACTGCTAAAGCAGCCTGATTGCAGAGAGAAATATTTATGTTTTGGACAATTTGATCACAGTGCGACGTTGAACCATGAAAAAGGGGACTTTAGTAATGAATGTTAAAGTTCAGATAGAGAACAGATCTCAATCAACAACAGATCAGCAATAATGTAAATAAGGCAGTCCAAAGGTAGCTCTGCTTCAGAAAAACACACCCTTTATTCTAAGGTTTCATTGGCTGATGAAATTATTTAGGTTGAACCCGAAATGTACCGAACTACCCATGCGATTTATTTATTACATGATAAGGAAGCAGAAATGGAAAAACACTAGAATTTAAAGAGGGTGATTTATTTTTGAACCATTTCTGAGCTCCTATCAGTGGTCCACTACTGACACCCAGTGGTGAGACGGCTCACAGTCTTCTAAGACGTTCACGGGAAATGGTTCAAAGTAATTACGAGGAAATAAAGTGCAATAACAATTTATTGATATAAAATTTTTTTTTTTTATAATTCTTTTTTTTTTTTTTGGTTTGTTATCTTCAAATAATTACAGGTGATCTAAAAGTAAAAAAAAAAAAAAAGCAATTTGATCTGGAGTGGCTGAAACCCAGTTGTAGATCTAGTTGAAACATGAATGTGCCAACGATAAACTCAAAAGATCAGACTTTAGTTTACGAAGATTCAGAATATTTCCACCTCTTCTAATCAGAGCCAGCATGGCTCTGCTGGGTCTTGAAGCAGGTCTGTGTTTCCTTCTTAGACTCTCAGAACTTCATTTAGAAATCTGTTTTTCAAAGTCTCCCTCTTGACACTTAACAACAATCACGAATAACTTCACAAAGGCATGGTTACTTTCTATGTGTGCGCTTTTTTCCCCTTAAATATGATGCTTATTTTTCTGTTTAGAAACGTTTGCCATCCAGATGAAACTACACCCATTTTCTTCATCCTCCCATTTTCACATACCCTTATATACCCTCATATATATTAAAACCTGGTGATTTTTTTTTATTAAGTCACCTTAAACTAAATGCCAAATATAATCTCATAGGACAAGAGCAGGTAACATGTTTTTAAGGTGAGAATAAGGTAAGCTAGTTGTACCCCTTAGGTTTGAGAAACTCTGTTTAATTGTGGCTCTGAAGGAATTTTTTTTTAACCTAATCCTCACTCTGAGATGTGAGATGTTTAAGGAGGACACTTGTTTTTCCTTTTCATGATGTCTACATTAGCTTTTTGCCATAGTGTCCAGTTCTGTTCTAAAACCATCTGTCCAAATGACATCATACCAGTAGTCGTGGTGTTTGTCCATGTTCTCTCAGGCAGACGAACATTTCCTCCATTTGCACTTCGCCTGGAAGTTAAACAGCAGTGAGAGGCTCTTTGTAGGTTCTATGAGGAAGGTTTAGAGCTTTCATGTCTTCTTTTAGCATATTGTGATCTACTTTCAGGATGTGCAAACTGAAAGTTCCACATCCTGAAGACCTGAGCATGCTGGCAGTTTATTTGAATGTCCTCCACTTGTAGAATATTGTTGCATGAATTAAGATGGCCGTCTTTTTATGTCGGATATCTTTGAATCCCTCACCACACTCTTAAGCTCCTGCAGCCACAGAAAGCTTGTTATATCCCTCCATTATGTTCTCTCACATTAAACAATCTGAGGTTAAAACAGGCCAAATCTGTCTGAACCTTTCTAGCCATGAATATGCGATGTGTTGTGCCTGTTTGTTATTTTTGCTAATTTAAGTGAGAATGATCTTGGAAGTTGTCCTTATTTCTGGCATTTTTCTAACTGCATTTACAGTTTTAAAAAGATTTTTCTCTAAACATGCATAAAAAAACTCAGAATTTTTTTTTCTCTGATGGCCATTTATTGTGGAAATACTTAGATTTTTTTTTTTCTTTTAAACAAAGAAATTAGAAGGTTGTTAAAATATTTGAAGTGTTTTGGAAGTAGATCAAATCTCACCGGAGGAAAACGGGATTAATTCTGTCAACCTCTTTCAGAATATGCAGCTTTTCTTTTCTTATTAAATTTATTTTACTCTGTATTTTAACTTTGAAGCCATACACATTGTCCTCAGGTATATTTGATAATCAAAAAATCCATTTTTAGTTTCAATTTGAGGCCTTAATATTTTATCTGTATCAAATTTTTTTGTGGTTTTGCCTAAATTGTTCTACATTTGTTTTGGTCGCTCAAATATTTCTATATATTCCTATTGACTGATATTCGTACATCTGTTCAGAAAATCATTTTGACAATTTTCTTTGTGGATTTGTGAAGAAATGCGTTTCAGGGGCTTTTGGTCAGTGATTATGTTTAAGGGCTCAGCTGTCTCTAAATATAGGATTGAGAGTTTTTTTGTTTATTTTCAGGTTCATTGATGCTGAGTTGCTGCTATTGACATGCTGAAAATGCTTTGTATTAAATCACATCATCCTGTACTGTAGAGGGTCTTTTCCTCTTATATTTTTATTTTTTTACACTTACTCTGTTTACTTTTGTTGATGAGACTATGGAATGGTCTTTGTTTAAATATATGCAGCATCTCTATCTTATGAAATATGTCTTAATTATACTTTTTTTTCCCTTTCACCTCTATTTTTTATTTTTAAAGCAACAATGCCAAAAATGTTAATAAATTAATATTTAAACTCACTGTAGGTTTGACTCCACTGCTTCATTTGCTACCTGTTTTTACCGGATCATGCTGGTCCTACAGTTTGAAATCCCTCACACATTGCTGCACACTGCTAGTCAGCATGCTGTAACCACATCTTTGCTTTAATTGGGTAACACAAAACATTGTCTGCTGCTTAAATCCTGACCTTCATAGTGAGAATGCCACCATGGTTATCTATGAAAGGCTGTTCTAAACCTACAGTTGGCAACCTATGATTAGCTGTATGCTAACTGTTGCCTGGTTCAATAACAGGCAAATATCTGCTTGGTTTATTTGTGTTCAAGAGCAACACGTCTCTTAGTAGCTGCTAAAAATGTCATACTAAATAGATCAGGTGTTTATTCCATATATTGTCAACTATAAATAGCAATAATAGTTCGGTGTACACACCATTATTAATAACCATAAAAAATATATCTACTAGAAAACATGTGCAGAGCTCCAGAGGGTTTGGTTTTAAGACTCTTCCCATATCTACTATTTATCAAATCAAGCCATGTTTAATTTCCTGTGAGGAAAGCTGCCAAGGAAGTTAGGAAAGCAGCAGCATTGCCTAGTATTATTGTTTTACCACCAGTGCAGAGCTTGCTCAGAAAATGACAGCATTCAGCATTGAGGTGAAGGCTTTTGGATGCATCACTACTTTTGATCCAAACTATTTTGAATGAAGGACTTCTCTGCTGCCAAGATTACACTCTGATAGACCAGGGCGTCCACTCACAGCAGGCTCCGTTTGCCACTGGTGCAGAGCTTGCAAAATCATGACAGGGAAGTTATGCAATAATTTTTTTCCTTTTGTAAAATAGCTTAAGTTCAGTCAGATAGAGTTGTATCTGTGAATAATTCTCAAATCTTGAGGCTGGTCAGATCCTAAAGGGCTGTTCGAGCACATAGAGGTAAAAGCCAGTAAATAAGAATATTTTGAAAAACTTGATTTATTTCAGTAATTGCATTCAAAAGGTGTAACTTGTACATTATATTTATTAATTGCACACAGACTGATGCATTCAAATGTTTATTTCATTTAATTTTGATGATTTGAAGTGGCAACAAGTGAAAATCCCAAATTCCGTGTGTCACAAAATTAGAATATTGTATATCAAGTTTTTCAAAATATTCTAATTTACTGGCTTTTACCTGTATGTGCTTTGATCGGGGACACTTCACTGTAGAAGAATAGAATTTAACTTTATTGTCATAACACTGTCACAAGTACAAAGCAACGAAATCCACTCTGCATTTAACCCATTCCTTTAGGGAGCAGTGGGCTGCCATTATGCGGCGGCCAGGGAGCAGTGTGGTGTTAAGGGGCTTGCTCAGGGAGCCAGAGTGGCAGTCCATAGGAGCTGGGCTTGAACTCAGAACCTCTAGGATTCAAGCCCAAACCACTAGGCTCCCATTCCCCTCAAGTTATTCCTGCATGTTAATGTCCAGCATCATATTGGATGTTGAATCTTCTCCCTAGTCTAAAGCGATTTGCAGTAAAATACGTCTGCCTCCATCCATCTTATATGATCAGTTTTCTTGTCTGTGCTTAAAGAAAAACTCCCCCCGCAGCATGATGCTGCCACCATCATGTTTTACTGTAGACGTGATGTAGTGTTGGATGTCTCATCAAAGCCACATCAGTTTTAAAGTCTTAATAAACTGTATTGTTAGTTTATTAATTTGTCTCTAGAAAAGATGAAGCACAAAAACAGCACTGGATGTTCTCAGTAGTTTATTCTGTTTCAGCAACAGACTGATCTCAATCGCAAGAAGATAGATTGTTGTGCAAACAACGAAATACATAAAAATGTTTCACATAAAAAAAAGGATTACATGTGGAAGTGTTTCTTTATGCTTAAAAGGCCCCTAGAGATGTTGGAAAGTACAATTTGACATTGAAATATTGGCAGCTGGTTTGGTCCATTTCAAGAGATGATTTGAGAAAAATGGCAGCTTTTGTAAAATGCAACACAATTACAAATAATCGTCTAATTACACAAGCTACGTATGAATATATGCCAGACTACGTAAAGGAATGAAGACTGTCACATTTAATGCAGCTGGAATCCTGACAGCTAAATCAAAATTTTACTAAAAAACAATATTCAGAAACATTTACGAGAAATAAAACAACAGTTCAGAGAGGATCTATTAGGAAGGCATGGACAAAACTGGACAACAACCAGCTTTTTCATCCCTGAGTGAGAACAAGAGTTTTACCCAATGTTTTGGTAGCGTTGCTAATATAAAACATGTAGTAAAAAGAATCTAATTTAATGCTTTTCTTCATTTTAAAGAGGGTATGCAATTTAATGAGCATTTTCTATATATATTTACAAATATTGAAACAAAAGCAAAAAGACATTTGTGCTTAGTTCACAGATAGCTGGTATAGTTTTGGTTTATGTTGGTGCGAAATCTGGAAAAACTAAATTAATGATCGATATATGAGATGAAAAGTTGTTGTTTTTTTATGTTAGGGTTTTTTGGAAGTGAAATCATGGGCCGATGATCTTACACTAATGAGTCCTCATCATCTTCATCGTAGTAGCGGTTCCTCTTGATTATATCCTCAGCGCTCAGATCCTCGCCATCACTCCCCTCTTTGTTGTCTTCCACATCCTGAGAGGAGTGGTTCTCTTTTCCAGCTTCCCTCTCTGCTTTCTCCATCCTCTCCTTCTTATCTTCATTCGGAGTCACCTTCTCCTCCTTTAAGGTGATTCCTGCTCCGTTTGTTGTTTCATTTGTCCTCTGCTTTCCCTCCTGTTTGTTGTTTTCTTTGGGTCTTTCCTCAGTCGACTGTTTCTCCTCAAATGATGCCCTCCATTCCAGCAGTCCCTTGAGAGGACGGCGGGGCTCTCTAGGACCTGCGGCTGCTGTAGGATTGGGTTTGGCCACAAGTGTGAAAGGACGGCTGCGTTCCTTAAGAGAGGTGCTCCTCCTCAGGCTCTTGAGCTCGGCCCGCTCGGAGCTCTGGAAAGATGACTGCACTTCATCCTCTGGGGGCCACTTGGCTCTCCAGGGTCGGCTTGAAGGGACCTCCTCCGCAGCTGGACTCAGCGGTCCTGTTCCAGATTGGTCTTCGCCAGCAGGAGGAGGCCAGGCGACCTTCAGCTTACGGGTCTCGGCTGGCTTGTCTGCAGACTGGGTCTTCTCTCCAGAACCAACATGCTTCTTTGTGCGGGTCTCCAGTAAAGCTGCCATGTCTGTGACCTTCACCTGGGGGGATGTTTCCCCATTAGGCTCTGGCTGCGTGTCAGACACTCTCTCAGCTGATTGTTTCACCACCACTGGTGGCTCTTTAGGCTTTGGCGCTTCCTCACTTTCATCTTCATCCCGAGGTTCCCACAGCTCCTTATGAGGACGATGACCAAAACCTTCATCATAGTTTCCTTTGGCTTTGAACAGCTGGCTGAAATGCGGCTTGCAGTAGATCTTCCCGTGCAGAGAAGCATAGTTCCCCAGACTAGAGACAGAAGGATGACATTTCAAATGAGTGTAGATTTCATTGGAGATTTCCTACATGCTTTACATGCTAAGATTCCAGGATATTCTGCAACACCTTCCACAATTGTTTTAATTACTTTAAATTTGTTTCCAAATTCATACTGATTTGAAAAGACTTTAGATAGAAACAATGTGTTTTTTTTTTTATGTCATAAGGAAGGACACAAAGATGATAAGGAAGGAAGGAAGGAAGGAAGGAAGGAAGGAAGGAAGGAAGGAAGGAAGGAAGGAAGGAAGGAAGGAAGGAAGGAAGGAAGGAACAGACAAAAGAAGGTACATACAAACAGAGGGAGACACTAAGACATTAAGATTAGTATGAAAGTCTTGAAAATCTATATCTTCACTTTGTTCAGGCCTAAGCAGACCTATAAAATAACTTCTATAAATATTCCAGACTCTTCAGACTCATAAAAGCACATGCATATGAAAACCTAAAATTCAGTTTCTAATATTTGAGATCTTTCAATAGGACTTTTGTAATCACACCACAATGTTATATAAATCTGTGTTCCTGAAATCATATGTACCTTAGACATCTAAGTATATAAATAGAAAGTTAAGTGGAAGAAAAATGCACAGGGAAACAAGGTGCTCAGGCTACAGCAAAAGCATTTAAAAGACTTTAAATCAAAGCCTGTTTAATAGTTTAGAGCGATTGATTGAGGGTGGACTAAACGTTTCAATAATCTGATTAATTGGGATACATTTATATCATAATGCAAGCATAAATACTACATTGCTTTAAGTGGACAAAAATAAAATAGGTGAAAACCAACCCCAGCTTTGTGTTGCAGTGAATACAGGCGAAGCATTTTTTGTGGTAAATGTTCCCACAAACCACCAGCTTCTCCAGCGGGTACACTGTTTTCTCACAGGCCGTGCATGTTTCCCTCACCACTGGCCGAAACTTCTGCAAACGTAAACGCATTCACATGAATTCATAAAGACCTTTTACAAAGAAAACTTATTTTAATAATTGTTTGAACTTATTAAGCCCCACCCTGGTTACTTTGGGTTGTTCGGTGCCTTCTCCTAAAACATAAAACAGAATCAGATGAAACCCAGATGCTCAGCCAGTGTGAAGAACAAGAAAACCTCTTTTAAATGTTGCACTGATGTGCCAAATCTACATTTTAAGTAAGAGAGCAAAAATTAAACATTTCCTTCTGGTTTCTGGTAAAATAAAACTACCGTTGCACTCGGCTGCTGGAGTGTGTCTGATTTTCATAGATACAGATCTTCTTGGAGCAGACCCCTCTGATGGCTGAGCCTGGCGAAAACATAGAGAGAGAAACATAGTAAAGTAATTACCGCCACCAAGGAGGTAAACTTGGTAACTAAAAAAGCTATGCACAGAGCACTGACAGTTTTTAGTTGCACCCAGCCCAACTTAGACCCTATTAAATGTAGGTGGCATTATGGCATATGATAGAGATTTTTAAAAATATTCCCTAACACTGTGAGAGAGGAAAATTAGCTGCCTGGAAATCTCCACTTACTGCGTGCTTTTTAGTAATAATATCCACATTTAGAAAGTGAGAAAAAAACAATGTTAAAAATATTGTAACTTAGATCAAAAACAGCTAAACCTTAATTGGAAATGACTCGGGATTAAATGTAACAAAATTTTATGTGATTTTATTATATCAATTAAAATAAACAGAAGAGTCAGATCATGGTACATGATGTATGATGATTATTTAAAAAAAAGCTTCTTAGTCAGTGGCTTAAAGGTATAGTGGAGGGTTTTCTTTTTCTGGGTGGATCATCTAAATAACTGGTCCTCCTAACTCTCAATCATTCTGGTGAAATGTTTATGTCAGGCCGTCCTACATGCTCGTCCCCATTTTCACTTACTGGTATTGAGTCTGACATGCTGGAAAAATTGCCAATCTTCTTTTGGAAAGTAAGCTTGTATGAGCGATGCAAACAGAAGCTTTTACACAGAGCGTGCAGGAGGAGAAATGGGCTTGTGCTCGCTCGTTTGCGTGTAAATCCTCCACTATACCTTTAAAGTATTTTCTATTTATATTCTCTCCTTATAAGTTAACAAAAAGCTGCTTTCTCTTATTAACTCTTCCTACCTTTTAAAGAACCACAAATCTTTGGTATTTAAACTCAAAAGTAAGTACATGGTGACTGCTGTGGGGGTATCTGCATACTTCAAGCTGTTACACACACATCTCTGTACAAACTGCAAAATACATGCTTATTCACTCACTTCAAGCTTAAAAACATAAAGGCTGTTACAGGCTCATATCCTAACCCTGGAAGATGATTATACCAAATAGTTTCTGAACCCCAGTTCTCTTGTAATTGTGCATAAGTCTGGTGCAGGCACGGAGGAAAACTAACTGAAGGCCTCAACAAACGAGCAAAGGTAAAGATGACACATCCAAATGCGCTCTGTTACTTCTAGCTTTGCTCTCTGATCACCTATAATTGCATGGATTTGGCTTTAATTAAGGGGACTTTTATTTTATGGTGTGCTTAAACAAAACCAGTATTTAGTCTTATTTTTAAGGAGCAACAACTCTGCATTGTTTTGATAGTGGTGAAAAATGTGGACTTAAAAGAGTTTGGTCAAAATTTTGGTCTCTTTTTGTTTTCTTCTAATTAAAGCAAGAAGGTGTGCAACAAGGAGAGCTTCATAGAAAATTCAACCACTTGAAGATGTAGCGTATGCAGATTATGTTGCAATGGATCTGCTATAACTAAAGCTATGTGATTAAATGGTTAATATATTTACAAAAATGTTATCTCTTGGCACTTATTAACTTGAAAAGGGATATAGCACTGAACTCACAGAGCGGCTGGTGTCTTGTTTAGCAACGGCAAACTGATACTGGGCCAACTTCTCCTTCATAGATGAAGATCGGCTCAAACCACGTGTACCTGAAGCAGAGGTATAAATCGTCATGCATGTTTTTATCTCTGTTTTTGGATGTAAACATAAGATAAAGCAACAAGAGAAAACAACAACTGTTTATCGGAATAAATCAGTCATCATTGCTTACTGATGGGATTTTCTGAGTCCTCGGATGAAGTGCTGCGTAGTGTTGACCGACCAACCTAAAGAAAAAGCAAAAGGAGATTCAGATTATGGGAGTGGAGCTATGTGCATCTATGACCCAGCCCTGTTTTCCGTCCTACATTTTGCTGATGACAGGACTTCAGATATTACTCATACGGGCCTTCATTGCTCAAACATTTATCAAGAAGTTCAGTTTTGCAGTTCTAAGCAGTTGTGGACATCACTCAAACCATCACTATGAGCTTTACTAAATATGTTACTGGTTACAACCAGTTGAAAACAAAAAACTAACCAGTTTGATTTTATCCTATGACAAATATGTCTAATAATGTGACAAAAAAAATGCTACGAAAAACAAACAAAAAAAAACTGCAACTCAGCTGTTTAGTTTAGTGTCTGAATCTGACACCGCAGGCTGAGCAACACTAAAATTGACGTCAAGTAGACTCAATAATCCAAATACCTAGAATTAGTGTGCATTTAGTCACATAGAAAAACAAACTCTATTTAGGTTATTAAAATCTGGAAAGTGGAGTATGACCATTCTTCTTTGCGAAATAGTCGAGACTGAATCAGATTAGATAAATACAGGTGTGGATTTTGACTGGCATTCCCACCATTTGTGCTTTGACCTAAACCCTTCCATTGTAGCTCTGAGTGCATTTTTATGGATGTTTTACTGCAAAAAAGGACAGCCCCTGTCACAGTCTCAAGTTTCTGCAGGTTCTTATAAGCTATCATCATGTATTTAGCTGCATCTATCATCCTGTACACATCCCTTGTTAAAGAAAAAGACATCCCCCCCAGCATGCTGCTACCGCAATCACGTTTCACTATAGGGAAGGTGTGTTCAAGTTGACATGCAGTATCAGTTTTGTTGCACTCATATTACTTTGTATATATGTTAAAAAGTTTATTAGTCACATCTGACCAATGCTGTTTCTCCAACAGGACATATGGCAGATAGGGAATACAACTTTCTATAGCTAATCATCTGAAAAGGGAACATTTGTCATCTTCATAACAAATAGTTGTCCTATCTTCATATTCTCCTACTTTATATATGGATTATGAGCTATAGATGAAACAGATTTTATTCAGGGGGTCAGAGTACAAATGCATGTCATTCTTTGAGTAAATTCACACTTTCTAGTGTCAAGTCAGGGAAATAAATTAGAAGGTATAAAGCTTTCTGTCAGGTACATTTAACTACTTCCTCTATTAGGAGACAATGGTCGACCTTGAGTTAAATCAGAAAGTAGAAACAAAACAACAGAGCCAGAGGTAGCAGATATCTGATGCTTATCTCATAGTAACTGAGACACCTGGGATCTGATGTGACTACCATCAGCCTGCAGGTGAACTGCAGTCAAAACTAAAACTGCCCTACACTGAAAACAGAAAGGGTATGCATGTACGTTTTTGCACTGACTCTGGTATTTTCTCTCTGTAATACATAAATAGCACAAAAAAACACCTCAAACAGCCCACAGATATGCTCAGCTGTTCTAAATCTGGCCTGGATGTCTATTCAATAGTGATAAAATAAATATATGCGCAGAACTAAAACTGATCAAAACCCCACAAATATAAACACTAAAAGAGAATTATTCCAGAATAGAAATGTGCCGACTATGCCAAGATGTAGATAGTAGCTTTACAGAGGTGGTCCTGTGGACACTGAGATGGGCCTTGGAGAGGAATGTCTGCATTCCTCTGCTCCAGAAGCTGAAGAGTGGACTACTTGTGCTGGGCTGAGGGAGAGAGAGAGCTGCTGTGAAAGAATGGAACTAGGAAGGCCTGTAACTGTTGAACCGGGGGCTAAATTATGGCGGAAAAAAGCTTAAAATGAACGAAAAATATTGACTTTTCTACTAGTGGAGCTAGGCTAAGTATGTGCATGCTTCACAAAAGAGGGGCTCTATATCTTCACCCAGAAATAAAGAATTTTGCAAGAAAATCGTTACCCCCAGACCTTTTCTACATTTTACCAGGTCAAAACTTCTACAGAAAACTTAAATATGTTGTATTAAGATTTTTAAATCATTGACCAACACAACAAAATCTGCAACAGTGATTTCGAAGGAAAATGATTAAAGGTTTTCCATTTATTTATAAAAAATAAATAAATAAAGTATGGTGATTCTGTGCAACCTTTTGATTAGTTAATAGAGTCCAGCTAGATGTAATGTAGTGTTCTGATTAAATAGAGCACTTGTGTAAAGGCCTATGAGCTTTGCAGAAAAAAACTAACAAAACAGGATTAAGAAAAAGGAAACACGGTGGTGGCAGCATTATGCTGTGGGATGTCTTCTTTTTAACCTAGAGTAGCTCTGAGGAAAACCAGCTAGATGCTGCAAATTATGCTGAAGCAGAAATTCACCTTTCAGCTTCTGGTATATCTAAGGGATCTGGACAGGGCTGCACAGTATTGAGAACATGCAATATGAACTAATGATCTGACTTGCTAGAAATAAACAGTTAACGTCAAACTTCTTTCAATACATAACTAGCATAGAGAGCATTATACATTGCTTTTTGACAACTATCTTATACTAAAAGCAGCCTAAGCACTTCTTTCTGATACAGATATCACAACCAGTATATGTATAAAGTAATAATGTATATTTTGCAAGCCTGGATGCAACTCTAACTGGTATAATTTATTGCAGAAAACACTGAGGGCAATTTTCCAGCAAATTTAAAATTTAAGATCATTTTTTGAAATATTTAAAAACATATTTTTCAAAACCATTTATTTGCTCAAATTATATCTTTTGAGTTGTTCTATTCCATAACCCTTGTGAAAGGCTCCACAAATCAACGGGGTACTCTTTTCTAAAGAAGAACAAAGAAAAAATAACTCCAGCAATTGTCAATGACAACATATGTGGAAAAAACACCTAAAAGAAAATCCAAAACCACAATTTCAAAATAATATGTTGTTGAATTCACAATTTTGTTAAATGTAGTAACAGAAACAAATCAACTGGTGAAGATTTACCTCCCTAGTGGAATCTTCTCGCTTCTCAAACTTCATCTTTAGGTTGTTCAGCGGCACCCTGGGCTTTTCATAAGCAGCGCTTGGGCTGGTGGGAACTTCCTCCTCAATGGGCTGAGGTTTTTCTCTCTCTGTGACCTCATCCCTGTCCATCCCTCTCTGCTCTTTACCCACTGGGGCTACAGGAGGCTGCTGGACCCGCCTGGCTGCACGCTGATCCCCCTGATCGCTAGGTGGGTCCTGAGGCTTCACGGGCGGTGGTTCCTCACGGATGGGAGCAGGCTTGGTCAGGGCTGAATGTCTGCGGCGAAGGCTGGACCCACTCGGAGCTGGAGCTGGGGCTTTTTTATCCTGATTTAGGTTTCCTGCTTGCTCCCAGCGCTTCTTAAGAGCGCTCAAGTTGCCAGAGCGCAGAGAGGTTGGAGCACCTTCGATGGTCTGTAAGAAAAATAAGAAAAAATGAGATAACTGAATTATAAATCAGTCAAAGATGCTGAGAGTCACAATAGTAATAATGTTCCAATGAGCTGATAAAAAAAAAAACAGCTGTGGATCAGCAGCTTAATGCAGTGGAATGAAGGAAATGCCTGATTCCTAACTTGGCACAGTTGATAGATGAAGGGAACAGCTGTTCAAAGCTGGTCCAGGACAAAGAAGTGGCTCCTGAAGTAAAAACATAATGGGACGTTCAGTTGCATTTCTTTTTCACTTTTTTTTAACACAAAACCCACAGGAGATGACTCCATTTATCACTCAAGTTACTGCTTTTGGTGACAGCAGAGAAGAGAAACCAGTGGGAGCACCTCTCAGTTTAGCAGAGAGGAACTTCCTCAATTAAAGAAAAGAAATGACACACAAGCAAAGAGGATGTGCACAGGAAAATATGTAGATCTATGAATCATAGAAAGCCAAATGGACTGTAGAAATACATTTCCTGGCCAAAACCTTGTCAAATAAAAAAAAATAATAATAATAATTAAAAATATATTTTCTGATCAATTAGAAGCTGTTAAAGATGGAAAATATTAATTTGATTCTAAGATATTAAGGCAACAAACAGCAAAGCACTCAACGGAAAGGATTTCAGCAAGTGACGAAACCCCAACAAAGAACAAAAAGCAGTGGCACAACTGCTGTCTTTGTGAAGTGGTGCCAGGCTGAATGGAAAACTCAATGTTTTAAAAGCAAGTAGAAAAGAAATGAAAACCTTATTAAATGGGATGAAGCAGCCAAGGTTGATGCCACTACAGCTAGACAGCAAAACTGGTCCAAGTGGTTGGGTTGATTTCCCTCCTCAGCTCGGTGTTTGAAGGTCGAGCTGTGTGTGATAGAGGCGGCTAGACAAAACCTACCAGTGAGAGCCGGTCCGGCCCCTCTCTAACAGCAGGAAAGTGAGAGGCAGAGAGTCAGAATACCCAGGAAACCAGAGCAGGAAATGATACGCACAGGGAAAAGTTAACTCTTTCTTCACTGGTTTTCTATCTGGTTCTTTCCTCTGATTAAGAGTTGGTGGACATAAGATTACTAAAACCGCTAATTGAAACATAATTCAAGCACACAGCTTTAGAAAAACATAAAGATTAATCAATAAAAGTGATCATTTAAAGCAAAAGGGCAAAAGAGAAAATTAAACCATAAAGAAAGAAAAAATCAGTACACAACTATAAGAGTTGCATGTTATCCGAGTTCTAAAACAGCAACACCAGGGAAACAATACAACAAACTTCTTTGTTTTTAATAAGACAAACAGTAATCAGTGCATGTCTGTGTGTGTGGTGGGTATCTGAGCCACCTTTACTCTGAGATGCATAAAAATGCTTTAAATCCTTTGAAGAATGTCTTTACCATCTGTGCACCACTAGAAATTATTCTTTTTTTCTTTTTCATCTGTAAAACAGCAAACTTAGTCTGACTGGAGCATCTCTGAACGTCAGTGTTAAACTCCTGCTACAGATTATCTCAAAACATAATAGTAAACAGGACAAAAGTCACAAACCGTAAGATTTGCAATTAATAAAAGACGAGTACTTTATGTGCTACTATCGTTCCACTGTTGGTCTATTGTTATATTATATTATTATTATTATATTAGTTTTATGCCCTGAATCTTTCTATTGTATCTGCACTCTCTTTATAGTAACAGATCACAAAGGTTCCCAATAAGATATGCATGAGCTTGCGTTTAAAGGGTATGGCTAAATTCTTTAAAGATAATGCCAGCTCTTTATAGACTGCAAAAAAAAACTCATGCATTTAGGTTTATTTATTTTTTTTTTTTTGCTTATTTCTGACACTAAACTAACCAGCTTGGCAGAATTATACAGCGGTATCCATCTCTATCCCTCCAGGGTCGGAAAGGTAATGAGGATCCTATCTGTCCAATATATTTCTCTTCAAGCACACCACATTCACATGGTTTAAATGCTTTTATGGGTTTTCATCATGTTGAGCGAAGGCCTGGTTTTGATCCAATGCTTTGAATTCAGCTGTGCTGCTGAGGCAAGAACACATAGAACATACAGGACTCCTGCCTTGGCTTCTGGAATTGGAAAACATCCGACTTCAATCACCCTTGAAAGGAGGGGCAAGCATTGAATTTGTTTTTGTTTGAATAATGGACTAAATACAGAATCACACAATTAGACAGACATGAGGGACTATACAAAGTGGCAAAACCAGGGATTTTAAGATATAAAAAGGACTTGCCTTGATGAAAAAAATATATTTTGATACCTTCAGTAGAGTAGTCTTAACATCTAACAATCCCCCCCAATCCTGCTATGAATCGTCCAAGATTTTGAAGGATGTCTTCGGTAAAATGCTTAGAGTAAATGAACGGCTGAGCATCAAACTTTGCAGAGATCTTCTGATACACAAACATAATCCATGCCTGTCGAAAAATGTCCCCTTTCTCCATGCAGCCTGAAACACTGCATTTATACCTTTATTCCTGTGGTTCTGGCTCATTTTCAATAGAGGAACTGCCTGCTTTGTAATTCTTGCAGAAGTAAACCCGACTGTAGGCTCAACAGCTAAACTGGTGTCTTACATCTACCTCTATTCATGTTCTCTTGGGCCAGTAAACCAGTGGGCTGGTCTATATGTAAATTTCGGGGTGCGACAAAAGTACAGGCCAGAACCAAATAAGGCACCATCCCTGAGTTTACATCAACTCGGTGCTTCGTTTGGATTCACCTGTTTTATGGTTTATGGATTTTGAGATTTCCAGAGAAAGTAGGTGTCGATGGGGTTTGAACTTGTATGTCTGTATGTCTATTTCACCCACTGAACTATCGTTACTCATCTTTGTGACAAGGTAAACTGTGTTTTTCATTCTATGAGTCCCTTTTAGGCTTGAAATCTGAAAAACAACTATACTGTATTTACAGTACTAGTCCAAAGTATTATTAGTTCTTCAGTTTTTGCCAAAAACTGTCAGATTATACGCTGACCTCAGTGTTTTACTGGGATTTGATATCTCATAAAATGCATCCTACCGATGAAATGCCTGTTCATTAAAATAAATATATCTGATCGCATTATTCTTTTTGAGGCAGAATTTTATTTGTTAAGACTTTATTTCAACAACTGCTCCGTTCTTGCCAGTTTTGCATAATGGCCTTTCTTTTAGAAGGCACAACTAACAGTTTTAAAGAATTCTCCCACCTAAGCAGCAGCTTCCCCTGAGTGGCTATAGGCTTCCTGGCTGCTTCTCTGATTAATACTCTCCCTCCTCAGCCTGTCTGATTGGCTGGTCAGCCACGGTCCCACTAGGTTTGCCGTTGAGCCTTCCTCTGTCCACTTGGCTGGACAGCCCTCTGCGTGATGTTCACAGCTTGTTTAACGATGTTGTTTGAAAACCTAAACCCAGCTTAAAACATTTCCACTGACCCGCCCGCTTGGTTCCTTGGTCTTTGTGATGTTTGTTTTCTAAAAATACTTTTTACAGAGCAGCTGGATTGAAACTGAGAGAAAATCCAACAACATTCGGCTCTATATATATAAATTAAATGACTTCTGAGAATCTTATATAGGGCGATAAAACAGCTGTGCTGCAATGCACTGTTTGATCCTAAAAATGTGTTTTTAAAAACTGTTTAAAATGCACCTAGAAACATTCGTTAAACCAAACAGATTTTTATCTTTCAATGTTTTCTTGCAAAAGCCACCTTTACTAATCAACATATTGGCAAGAAGAACAGCTTCGGGTCAACTGATTAAGGACAAAATCCTCTTAGTATTGCACCACACAGCAATCTATGATTCTTCTATTACATACAAAACCGAGAGGGGTCTGCCTGCAAACTTGCACTGTCATGACCCTGGCTGCAGACCTGCACTGTATGATCTCCTGTGTGTTTAGAACCGGAGGTTTATTCAGACTTTCAAAGTAAACGCGAGGTTGATTCGAAGCCTTTCTAAAGTAACAGCTAGCGTCGATAGACTCCACACTAGCTTCCTTTCACAAATAAGTGTTGTTATGCTGGAAACTTACGTACAAGCACAATTTTACTTCCCATCAAACTCCTATCTGGAATAATCGATATGTGCTACATAGAAATAAGTCTCTGTATATGGACGAAAAGGCCAGGGCATTTGGTCTATAAGACATTTTCTAAATAACAATGGAGGTTGGCTGTCCTTTGAGGATTTTTGCTTACTGTATAATTTAAACTGCTCCTATGCTCAGTTTATGACCACTGTCATAAACTCTAATCCAGCAGCAAACACATGCTGCGCACTATTCCCAAAGGCTTCAAATACAACTTCTGGAATGAACTTTAAGTCCTGACGGTGCAGGAGACCCCATTTTGCTGGTCTGCAAAGACGTGTCCTGATAGTGCAGGTCTGCAGCCAGACTCTTGACAAAACCTGAGGAATTAATGTAGCTAATTCAGAATTAGAGTAATTATTCATTCTAAAAACATGTTTACATTATCAATTTTGAGCTGCCAAGCCAGAGTCCAGATTCATGTTCCACAAAGACTCCACAGAGTCTATATGGGATCTGGAGGAGCTCTACATTAGGGTGATAGTGTGGAAGCCTTCTGACTCTTTGTATAATTTGTCACCAACGATTAATCATCAAAATATCAGTGGAAACATACAAAAAGATAATCATCAGAAGTTCAATTCCTCAGATACTTGTAATGATTTTTCATTTTTTTAAGACCCCTTTACCTTAAAGTTCTATATGCCATTTAAAGACATCAACTCCTTTTATTAAACAGTTTTTATTATGTTACCGTCTTATGAGAGATACATGTTTCATGTTCTGTAATAAATAAGTCCTATTGATTTCAATCTGTCTCTGAATTATGTAGTAAGAGATGGACTCAATTACTTGACACATTGAAAAAACCCATCCCCCAACAATCTTAACTTCATCCACCCCCCACCCCCCAACACACACACACTAACAGATGGTCTTTGATAGTACTCATTTAAACTAACTCAGACACATCACACCGGTGTTATTCATAAATAATTTAGTTACACTTCTTCTGTTTAGTCATTTTTTTTCAAGCAGGTGAAAACTTACCTCTACTAAGTTAAAACCATGAATAACAATAATTAAACTGAATCAGACTGAGGGCTGAATAAATTTAGATTACATGGTTTAGATTGAAGCTTGTTGAAAAATCCACTCCTATCATTACAGCAAATATCTTAGCAGCCACCTTCACTGATATCAGGTTTCAGTAGTAGTGGGAAGCCAAACTGTTATCTGTAACGTAACCACCCTGAGCATTAAAGAAAGAAAGAAAGAAAGAACCTCTCCAAACAGCTGTCTGACACACAGGCTGCAAAACAGACCCTATAATTACTCATGACTGCATCAACAGCACCTTGTGTCTTCGCATGACTGGCTCTGGTCCGCTCCTCATTTGATCTCAGTCCAAGTTTGTTTACAGGTCCTTCACACTGACAAAGCTGCTAAACCTGCTTTTGGTACCGCTCAAAGTTTTACAGGGAGGGGGGATTACGCTGGAGTAGGATTATGGGTTTGATAGCTTGCCTGTCGTAGCATGTAGCCAATGAGAGGTCAGCCAGGATGGGACATGACAGGCCACTGTGTTGGTATGGGATATCATTGTGACTGTGCGTATATTCCTAATCTCACAAAGCTTCAATCAGTTTCCAACCTCCAGCTGAAAGAAGTAAATAAAAGGAGACAAGTAGCAGACATAAAATTATGACCTCCTGTTGTTTTCTTGTTTTTTTTGTTTTTTTTTTTTTGTTGGAGTGTCTGCTGATATACAAAGATTGTAAAAATATTCGAATATGTTGATCTGTTCAGAGCTCAGTCTGTGTCTTTCTTGTGCGAAATCATTTATTTTTCTGGGATTTGATGTGACAGGTATGCCTAAGTCATCAGCCCAAAAGGCTATTAACCTGCAGCTTTTAGATGCATCCCTTCTATAAAACACCTAAACTCCCTCATGAGTCTGAGGAGTTCCAGATAAACTTAGCAGTGCCTTTACAGAGTGGGTCAAGAACCAGGGCAACTAACAATATGCAGTTGTACTTGATTGTTTTCTAAAGGAGTATTGCTAATTAAGGAGAAAAAAAAAGCATGAAGAAGAAAGCCAGTCTAATGGGGTTTCCATTGCTGCTTTGGTCGCTAATTTAATTGTTAGCCTGCACCTCTTATCTACTCCATGTAGCCTATGTCTTCTTCTTCTTCTGCTAGATGCTGACACTCTGTGGAACGTCAAAACCAGGATTAGGCTAGAGTTCTCCTTCCACAGAGCCACTAATAACATGAGGGATTTTATGCAGTTGTGACTTAAATAAGATTTTATGCAATGTGTCAGATGAAATAAAAACATTCTAATAAGCTCCTCATTTAAGTCATTTGTAAAGTCATTCTGATGTGATACTTATCTTAACTCATTTTTTTTTGTGTAATTCGAATTTTTTGTAACTAAAGTTTTGTAAAAAAAAAAATCATAAAATCTACTAAAATGCTTTCACACTTCACTGGTCAGGCCTTAAATTGTTTTGAAACAATTTAGCACTGTCCTTGGTGCTTAATTCTTAGTTTTTAAATATGTAAAAGATGGTAGACATGATCCAGACAATTAGTAACAGCAAAAGACAATCCTTTAAAGTTTTAACTCAAAAAAGCTGAATGGAAACAGATCCAAACCATTTTTTCCTGTAAAAATAAAAGTAATCATTCCCCTTCCACCTCACAATTATGTGTGACTTTTTGTCGGTGTGTCACATGAAATCCTTCAAAAAATAGGTTAAAGCGATAAAAGAAGCAAAACATGTCCAGTAATAACAATTATTAACCATCAGCAACACATGTGTTTACATTGATTACAATCATTTTATTGACCCATCTTATTAACCTGTTTAAAGAAAAATACTCACTCCTTTTTTCTTCTCTGCACTGGACTCCTCAGCAGCTTTCTGGTACCTGCAGAGCAAAGAAACAACACTGATCTCTGCTGACTCATAACAAACCAAAGCATGCACAGATTCTATATTTATTGGTTTTAAAACCTTCAAAAGTCACTAAATAAAAAATATATAAAAAAAATGTTTAATTACTTATTTAAGCATTTTACATTCAGTGTTAATCAGAGAAAATTTAAACATCTAAAAATTCTTTTAAAATATCATCAGTACAACTTGAACACTTAGAAAAATACCCCCGAAAATATCCCCTTAATTTATTTACTGAAAAACTCAGAGAACCTTTCTTTGAATAAATTACTACATTATTTAATAAGGTTTGCTTAAATTTATAGATAAGTCTCCTTAAATTATCCTTCCAAATAAGCTGGAATAATTGCCAGCTGGTGGAGCCACCCAGATGCAAAACAGAGCAGACATGTTCATATGAAACCAGAAGCCCCACAACCATGACAACAGTTTGAGGCTGAACTTCTGCGTAGCTGTTTCTCCAAGCAGAAAACTTACTCACCTAATCAAAAATGTGATATCATCCAGCAAACATGTACAAACAGCCCTCCTGCTTGCTCACAAGGTTTTCAATAAACTACAAACAACAGTGCTTTTTCACTTTATCCTTTTACTGCACAAGTTTCTCCTGCTGGACTCAATTAGCCCCTCCACCATTTTATACCCATGTAGTTTTAATTACTACATACCTGACTGGCAAGAGTACATCCATTACCTACTTTGACAACTCATTTTCTATATCCACCTTTATTCCACTGTAAGGAAATGTGACTATGTGCCTCTAAATCTGTCTTATTTCATAATAATCTAGCGGCTAAAAGTGGACCAGAACAAAAAAAAATGAAGTAGGTGTAAAGAATTTCCAGGCATAGCATACGTCTAATGCTACATTCACACTGAATGCAGCAAAAGCTAATAAACAAGTGACTGAAAACAGTTGGTTTTTACAGTTCAGGTGATGTTTAACAGTAAAAATGGGAAGACACCTCAGTGCTGTAGTGGTTTAAGTCCAACTCTATTAGTTGCAGCCTCCTGTTACTTACCTGCTGAGGAGGCCTCATGAAAAAGGACTTATCAAACATAAAGATTTGTAAGTCTGATCATAATCATTCAGTTGTACAAAAAACTTCACTTCCAAGCACTTTTATTCACAAGTTGGTGTCATTCAATATTCAATAGTGTTAACATGTCCTAAAGCGTCCTTTGACTTGTCTCTCTTGGAGGGAGTTGTTATAAGTAAAATAAAAATACAATCAAATATTGCTGAAAACCTGTTGCTACCCACTTGGAGAATCGATCTGCAATGGCGTTTTTCTTCCCACCGACCAGCGACAGCTCCTTAGCGGTGATACGCAAGGATTGCGCTGCCCAGGACCGGCGATTAAAGGAACCGTTCTCCATGTCTGTCAACCTAAAGAGAAAATAGAAACAACAAACACATTCAGTGCATATTCCATCACACGTTTTATGTCTGTATTTTTTGTTGCTGTTGAATGTGAGCGGATGATGCAGTGAAACTGAATCTAAAGCTCAGGGCAGATGCAAACTAGCATTAGCTTTTTAAACATGAGTGTGATATTTAAAAACAGAAAAAAAGAAAGTAAAAGAGCAAACAGCTTGTATATTTAATATTGCATTTTGATATGGTGTGATTCAATATGTTTTTACAACTGGAAAGGACTGAATACATTGTTTGATATAAACAATCTGTAAAATTATGACCTCACATTTCACCCATCTTTTCTTTTTTGTAAAACATTATTTCATCATTATATTTCATTTACTTTTCCTTTACCTCTTGGAAAGGTGAGTTTTTGTTTGTTTTGCTTTAACCCATTATAGGGCACTCAATGAAATACTTTGAAAAATACAATTTCAAGCCAATAGTGTTTTTGTAATCGAGGACAAGACCTTACTACCTTTGTAACATTAAAAAATATGGATATTTTGATGCCAAAAAATAACGTCAATGTAATAACAAGAAACTCCACTTTGCCCCAATATATTAAGAAAAATAACAAAAGTGCTTCTATAAGAAATTAATCAAAAACACTCTGAGAATGAAACAAACAGATTGTTTTGGTACAACAAAACCTTAGAGGCATTAAGGCTGACACTGGCACTGACATTTTTAAGTTTATAAACCTAAATATAATTGTTAACTAGGCTTATCAGTTTTATAACTCTACTTTTTAACTTTTCAATTAGCTTTTTACCTTTTTCTCTTGACTTGTTAAGCTCATCTAATTGGGCAAATGCAAAAATAAGATGTACAGCCATGTAGCAGTGTCATTGCTGAATGGCTGGATATAGATCTTGTGCTTCTACACCTCACTGAGGGACGGGGGGGGACTGGGACTCCATATGCAAGGGTATGCAAGTGATCAAAAAATTTAACTTGCCCTATAAAGGGTTAAGTAATTAATCTCTAAATCAAACTTCAAAGCATATAAAACATATATCAACTATACATATGCAAAAAAAAAATCTAATATGAAATAACCTGGGAACCTAGCATGTCGGCATTTAACAGCAACAGGATGCTACCTTTCTTCCTGTACCTTTTAGCAGTTAGTCCATCTTTCAACAGAGGTTCTGTTCTAAACACTAAAGCATTTATTGAAATGACTAAACAAGTCTAAAACCTGTTCTAGCATTAGACTATAAAGCACCTTAATGTCAGAGTCCAGTTTTGCTGTTTGTGGCAGGACCTGTTTCCTGTTGGTGATCATTAATTTGCAAGTTTATAGCATAAACTTCCCTGACAAACAGCTCACGACTGAATGGGCATATTTGTGCTCATTCAGGTTACGCATGCAAGCAGACGAGTCGACGTGTTCAAACTCGTACGGCAACTTGTGTCGCATGAATGCAAAGAGGACAACACAAACAGAGCAGCAGAGAGAAGGTACGGTCGCCAAACAAGAGACTGGATTAGTGATGGCATGGTTTCACAAAACCAAAACGACACTTTCGTTTAATTATACTTCCCCTGAGCAATTGCTTTAGGATCTGTTTGATTTTTCATGATGTGAACCTCTAAGTCACTCCAGGGACAGACAGGACAAAGGACTGAGAGTATTTTTATGTTTCTGAATAAAAAAAGATCTTGTAAGTCTGTTCAGGATGCTGCTGCAAAGCTTTTAACCAAAACAAAAAAGAGACAACACATTACTCTAGCTTTAATCTCTTTACATCGACTACTGACACATTTTAAAATCCATTTAAAATATTTTAGTCTTTATTTTAAGAGCCCTATGTGCATCAAACCCCAAACCTCTGACCTTCTAGAACCCTAAACCTCCTCTTTCACTCTCAGATCTTCCTGTCTAAATATACACTTTATTAACAAATTAACCCAGAAATAAATTAATATTTTGTCATTTTTTAACAAATAAAGTGTACATTAGCGGAAAAAGAAAGAAATAATAGTTCCATGTAGATTACTGGATTGGATCTCCGATATCCACTCACTGATATCCGATCCAGATAATTCGTTAATATCGGAGCAGATATCCAAAGGGTATTTGATTGGTGCATCTCTAGTAAAAGGTTCTAAGAAATAACAGTCGTTGCATTGCTTTCTTGAAAATTGGTCAAAGAAGATTGTGATTGGAGCTAAAAAACAGAACCTTAAAAGAAAGCACATATGAAGCTGCAAAAGACTCTTGCAGAGATTCATCTGCTATCAAGACAAGAACCCCAAACCTTCAACCAGAGTTGTAATAGAATGCCTTATGTCAGAGCGTTAATGTGTAGCAGAGTAAAGGTCAAAACAGAAATCCACTTTAAATTCTTGCAATCAAATCTTAGTGAGTTTGAGCCATTTTGGAATGAAGTTTGAACCAAAAAAAAAAGCAGGTCTTAGAATGTCCAAAGCTAGTCAAAGAATTATCCCAAACATTTGCAGCATTATTTTTGGGCACCATAGTAAAAGTCGGCTAAATAACCATCTGAGGTGTGAGTAATTCTTTCTTTGAAGTTTTATCCATCTATTTATTGTGTAATTGCACATAAATCCCATTTAAATGCAATGATGTTGGTGGTTCAAAAATGACACAATGTAAAAAAAAGTTCGATAAGATAAGCATAAGATTTTTGCAAGCCACAGGAAACTGGTGCAAACAACACAATCTTTATTTGAATCATTCGTTCAGCTGTGGGTATATTAGCCACAGCACACCTAGTGGATTACATCATCAGCCCCATGCAAGGCAACTTTTGTGATTGCTTTTAGGACTTTGAACTGAACTTCAACATAACCCTTGCTTAAGGCAAAGCAGTAAACCCTTTACTTTAACCTAGATACTATTAGTTTTGATTGGACAATATTTATAAACACATCACAAATAATTTGATCTATTTCTTTGTGTTTAATTCAATTCGAATTGGACAAATTTGAATAAACGCAACGTGTGTATTCACAACCCAGCGTTAGAATATTACGTTTACGTTCCTCGAGGCTAATTATTACTGACACAAACTTTGGATCCAAAGGCACGGTGGCTCATTTCATCATCCTGGATGTTATTTGATCCTTCTGCTAAGCCGGTACACTGGATTGGGTACTTTCTTGTCAGTCAACAATTGGCCGGTTTGCTTCAGGTCTTCCTTGAGGCCTGGAGTCATTTCCTACATGCAAAAAAGGGACACACCTTGGAGACATCACCTGCTCTATTTTACTGCGATCCAGCCAAAGGATTTCACAGCAGTGAATGAGATCAGATAAAGAATAACTTCAAACCGCAGCAGTGGGCCCTCAGACTTGTCCTTCCAGATTTTACCGGAATTCATTTTAAAAACAGACCTATTTTCTCTACATTATTAGAAAGAAGTCAAGAAGAAGGCAGGGCCCTGCTTAAAGCTACGACACAGTGCTGCTTGAAAAGATTTTGCAGGACTTTTTTGTAAAAAAAAAAAGTAATGATTCAAAACCAAAACATTCTCCTTAATACCATTCCTATAGTTTGAAGTCCTTTTAATGCCTTTTTCTAAGCTGCATAGAGTAGATAATGAAAAAATAATGTCCCACCCCTACATATTGCTGTTGTCATTGGCTGCCTAAGAAAAAGCTTTTCTTAGCTACATTTTCTCTACAATCACAAAAAAGACAAATTACGTTGTTCGTAAATATGTAATTAACTTTGAACTTAAGGCATCCTACTGATAACACTTCAAGGTTGTTTTGTTGTAATTGTCTTACTGCTGCTTTTTATTGTTGCTCTGCAAATAAACAACTTTACAACATACTGTGAATTAAAAAAAAATATATATCTAGGCAGACTTTAGATAGAGATAAAATGTTCTGAAATAACTTACTAATTAAACAATAAATAACTTGTAAAATGAAGATTTAAGTGAAAATGGATTGGTGCACATCTAAGGTTCACATGAAGCTAAATCGTACAGGTTTTACATACTCAGACCAAATTTTTGACCTTATTCTCTAAAAGTCGTGCTTAGTACTTTGAGCAAAAATAAATTCCTCCATAAAACAAACGTCAAGCACTATAGCAGTCCGTTATGTAAATGTGGATGGCTTCAATCTAACCATATTGTTAATTTGACTTTTTTATATATATATTTATTTATTCATACATAGACAAAGCTCAATTAAAACTAAAATTGCTAAAATGTTTCAACATTTCAATAAGAAAAAAAGTCAACTCCAGTACATTACATATTACAGGAAAATAAACTATAATCTTGTTCACATCCTTTCAGTACAACCTTTAAATATATATTTGTAACTGTTTGTATTACTATGTAAAGAAGTAAATATGTTTTCTTTTTTTAAAATTGATAATTTATTGAATTTATTAGGCAGTAACTTTGCACCAATCACACAGATATAAAGTACAACTTCATTTTTTATTACTTTTTGCTTCACAGAGGTATTGTCATTTTGGCATCCTTTGCGCTATCACTAAAAACATATAAGTACACTCATAACCGTGACGTATAAACTGCACAAGGCCGTGCAATATAAACATGTAACACAATAATCCAAGGGACTGGATATAAATATACGAAATCAGGCACACGGTTGCAAAAATATACCACACATATGTAGTGGGGAGACCTTTCTATTTTCTAAAATTCCCGACTACTCGCAGGTGCAATAGTGAGAAAACATTAAGCAGCATGACTGCATTTCCCTCTCATAGGACGACTCTAAGGTGTTTTTCCATTCTTTTTGGTGCAGTTTGTATGTAACTTCCAGGTTAGTTAATATTGGCAATGCACAATGATTGCTTCTAGTCTGCTATTGCAAAGGTTTTTTGAAGTGTCAGAAGGTTATGATATAGCATGTTTCAATTATCAATGTACCAATGTGTTATACTACAAATATGTCATGTTTTACATGAAATGGTTACATACATTTTAATAGCCTTACTAATTTTCAGGATCATTTCAGGTTGGTTCACAGAGCAGAACAGGTATATGATTCTGTTTAATTAGCATTTGAAACTGTAGCAAAATTAAGCAGCCATTCTGTTTTATTATATTACCATCATTATTATGCATCTTTTCCTGAAAGGGAAATTGTGTTGTTTTTGGAAGTGAGGTTCTTGGTCACTATTTTCAGCGCTGTTCGCTGAGGAATTTTGTTAAAAGTAAATAAACTACAATTACAGAGAGATGAAAAGAAGACATGCACATCTGTTTTAGCATATTTTAAATATGTATAAACAACTAAAGCTAAAAATGTAAATTCCTGCAGAAAGCAGCCCTGTATCAGTAGATACTGGACCGCTTTGGTTTAATAAGAGACCTTTGTTTAGTGTGTTGCTGTTTTTTCAGTCAGACTCGGTGTTATGATGGCAAAGACACGCTGGCTGAAGGTGCTGTTTCGGTCCACCTCTTCAACTGTGAATCATCAGTCTGTTCTAAGCCTGTCTACTAATTAGTGCTGCAGCGAACAATGATTTTGCACATCGATTAATCCATCAATTATTTTTTAGGCTAATCGATTAATAATCGGATAGCGAAGGTTCCTTGAAGAATTTTTTTTTTCAGAATTAAACCAGGTGAAACTGAAACTTTTCCACTTGATGAGTTCTGAATAGAGCACATTGATGGACGAAAATATTTTTTTAATCTTAAATGCAAAATATTTGTGTCACTTTTTTTTCTTTTACAATTTTGTTATTATTACTGCACAAAGTGGGTTTCTCTGTCATTTAAAGGCATGTTTTAGAGTCTTTACACTCCAGGTAACAATTAATCGATTACTGAATCGGTGGACGATTATTTCAATAATCAGTTAATCCAAATAATTGTTTCAGCCCAACTACCAATACTAAGGAAAAGTCTCAGATCTTTCAACAAGTTGTCGCCTCTGGAAGCAAACTGAAAGTTGTACATTTCTTTACTCTTTAAGGTCCTGCTGCTGTTAGTAAAATTATCCCTGGGGACTAACAATAAGGTGAATGGATGCAGGCTCCTTCATCGTAGCCTAGTAACAAGGACATCTGGTGACTGAAAACAGACTTAACGGTTTTCTGATGTTTAATTTTCACCAGTATTGCTGCACACCGTTATTATTAGCATTTCGACGAACATTGATATGAATACTGTCAGTTCGAACTGTTTTAAATTAAAAAAAAGAAAAGAAAATAATGTAAACTGGATGTTGGGTGGGTGTATATCTCACAAGTTGTTAGCCTTCTATCGCTCTGAGTATTTTTTATCACACTTTTATCATGTATAAGAAGCTATTACTGATGATAATGACTTTGAACCTCATGTTTAAATACTCAGATAGTCTATACACCAGAAACAATTAACACAACTTCTAGCACTGGAGCGCTAGAACTGTGAGAACAATTCTGTTGTATTACTTTAGTTAACAGAGTTAAAGTTAGAGTTAATTTAGGAGATTGTTTGTGTTATGATGAGTAATAAACTATTTCCGAACATGTCACATTATCACCTGCGGATCACCTGACAAGTCTCCTTACTTTCATTTTCCAGAACTCCACAACCGTGAGAATTAATATCAGACTAAAAGCTGGCAATAGGAGTATTGAAGGAATCAGTGGTGTCATTTCTTGCGAAATTTTAAACAAAGCGCTCACAGTGGTGTCTGTGTTTCAGCAGGGGAAGAGAGACACAAGTAAAGGCTTGAAAAGATTACAGCCTATTTCATATAATCCTGTAAACTTTATGGATTTTAAAATCAAACAGAATATATGACTTTAATACCCTTGTTCTCAACTTTTCTGAGATCGGCATCATTAAATGTATTTGCTATGACAACAAGCAACAACAATCTATTACAATACCTGCTAAGAAATAAGAAAGGAGGAGTGCAGCTTGCTTAATTCATAATTGATCTATTATGGATTCATACAAAAGCCAGAGGCAGGTGTTCAGGACAGCATGAGTCTGAGCTACAGCGTCATTACTGAAGTATGCAATAAAGAGGCAGAACTCAGAGGCCAACATTTCATCTAAAAAAACTTTAATTATAGGTTCAGCTTTCATGGTCGCTAGGAGAAGGAGAGAGAAAATAAACTTAGATGTAACATTTAGAAGACTTAGACCGCGAAGCTTTATGGAAAGTGGTGAATAAACAGAAACAGCAGCTCCCTTCTGAGTAAACTAAATCCACACCAGTTTCCCTAAATACGAACTAAAATATTCTCTTTACTATAGATATCAGAAACAACTTCTATCTGGGTTTTTTTTTCCCGTGTCGTTCCCCGGCCTAACATGAAATTGTTCCTACCTGTGAGAACTTCCGTTCAGTCAGAGCTTCTGAGAAACCTGAAGGACACCTGACACTGACTGCTGCTCGCGCGACACCGCCCGGAGTGGCCCGCGCGGGGGCGGGGTGAGCGCGAAGGTGAGTGGAGGAAGCAAGTCACGTGACTCTCTGAACCAATGACTTTAGCCATAACTTTTCGCTTACCTGGGAAACTTCTAAAGGGCGAAATGAAGTTCCTGAGAACAGGTAGCATTGGTCACTTCTCAGTGAGTCTAGACAGTCTGATGACAATAAGATAAATGCTGTGAAGCAACCGCCCGCGTGACGTGACATGGGTGGGTGGTAGGGATGGAATAGGTACAGGTAGAGGGGTGAGGAAAAATAATCCTCAACAGCAACAAGTGTTCATTTGAGTGAACTGAAACACTATGAACAGTGCTTTTGAAAGAGTCGTTCTAAATAGTTTATTGAATCACTTAATCTATATAAGCATCTATTCAGATTTCTAACTAAGGTGGGTAATCAACGTGGCTTTGGTTACATGAAGGACTACTTTTCTTTGTAAGACATATGTTCCAGGGGCGGAGCTAGATGGGGGGCCATGGCCACCCTTAGCCAATCATTGGCCACCCCTACCATTTTCCCCCTCTAATACAGATGGTGGCAGCAGTTATACTCTCAAGTGGAATATTGTGGTTAATCATAAACATCAATATATTAACACTAAAGGTGATAAGTACACAATTCATGCTCTCTTCAGAACTAGATTTTGTGTTATATGGGGTAAAGAGAAAATTGTGTGTCTGCAAATCATCTGGGTATCTTCATTGAAAGATAAATAAACATTTTTATAAAAAGTTATCAAATAATCAATTTATGTAGACGTTTAAAAATATATAAAGGCCTAAAATTGGAATAAAATGAGTGTGCCTCATCAGGCTAGTGTAGTAGAACAATTTCACATAGAAATTGAGTTGGTGGGTCACATGACCTGGAAACCATTGAAGAAATATCACATTTTTTATTATAAAAAATCCTTAAATATGAGGCTTAAAATTGGAAAAAAAATGAGTGTGCCTCATCAGGCTAATGTAGTAAAACAATTTCACAAAGAATTTGAGTTGGTGGGTTGAATGAAGCTATTGAAGAAATATCACATTTTCTTCTTATTAAAAATCTTTTAAAATTAACAAAGGCTTAAACTGGAATAAAAATAAGTGTGCCTTATCAGGCCAATGTAGTAAAACTAGTTCACAAAGAATCTGTGAACTAGTTTTACTACATAAGAAAAGTGCCCACTTTTGTCTTTATAGATATCTTAAATATTGAAAATAGCCTAAAACTGCATAAAAAGCAAGAGCGCCTTACATATGTTATATATTGGCATGACTTTGTATTAGTTTCGTCTTAGCTGGTCATAAGATAAGGAATTTATTGATTTTTGTTTCTCAAGAGTGCTTGGTTCAAAGATTTGTTGACGGTCCCTGACTGCTCCACCGCGTGTGGGAGGAAGGAGCAGCTGAGAGACGCTGGCCGACATCGGAGTCCCTCAGTCAGATCAACCGTTTGCTAGATCCCGCTGACTCCACAGAGCTTGAATATCCAATATTCAACTTCAAACCAACTTCACAGCAGTGCTGATGGCTCAGTTCTGCTGCACTGTAGGCGACCAAAATCCTGGACAATTTTGAAATTCCCCCCGGACAAAGTGGAATATGTCTGAGACAAAGAGGACATCTGGTAATCATATATATATATATATATATTTATATATATATATATATATATATATATATATATATATATATATATATATATATATTTATATAAAACTCTCTCACCCATCGCTTCAGACTGCTGGGTTTAAGACAGACAGCCTTCAGCCTTACAGACATCATTACTTGGTGGAACCAAACATAGATGTCTTGATTAAAAACTAGGGACTAAGACATTCTGGGGGGACTATAGGAGAGGCTAGTTACTCAAATAGAGAACAACCGAAGCTCTCCATTATGAAACCCAAAACACATGAAGGTTTATACATTAGCATGTGTCAAACAGAGTAGACATTATGTTTTTTTGTAAAACTCCATGAGGATCATGGCAAAGGATTGATGGCAACCTTATAGCTCCTTTGCGTTGGAAATCAGGAGTGCTGTCGATGGGCAGCATCCTGTTTGATCTTCCTACCTCCTTCCTTACTACCAGCAATATTTGGGTAGAACTTCTTATTTGGCTTAAGTGTCCTTACCAATTTGCCTGAATGAAAAACCAGTGGCATTAATTACTTCACTTCTGTGTCTCTGAGTAGGTTTACAAATCTCGACTTGGTCAAGTTGCAGATGTATGGAGTGAATTTTGTTCCCTTTTCATATGTTTTGGCTTTTATAACAGAGCTTCAGCCATTTGATACATAAGTGTTTTGGTGGTTATTTTCTTGAACGCTCAGGTACCAATGTTACCAGTGTCATTCATGTGCATGTCCATTGTGTGATGATGTTCATGAGGCTGGGCTTTGTTCAGATTCACCATAGCAGTCAGTAGCTCCTTTACTAGCCTGGATAGGCTTCTAACTGCTGACCCTACGAAAGAGGAAGGGAAAGGAGATCAGAACAGGAGCTAAGAACAGGGGCTCTGGGCTAAAATTAGAGGTATTCGGATTCAGCAATTTGATTCAAGTGTGCTGGACCATGGTTACCTCTAATGTTTCAAGAACATGAACACAAATTCTACTTCTTGGACAAAGCAAAAAAGATACTAAGGTTTATGTGGCGATGGATGGGTGATGCATTTAATTGGGAGTGGCTACCCCAAATCTAATCCTGCCCAAGGCTCCATGAAACCCTGGGTCAACTCTGATGGAGCTGAAAGGCAGTTTTTATTTTTGGAATGAATTGCAAAAAATTAAACAAATTTGCGGAATCATCTTCTAATCAAATACAGCAAAGGCATACCAAAAAGAGAACAATTTCTATAGTGGGGGGTAAAAGATCAAGTAAGATGTTTGCATGGAATTTGCCTTTTAAATGAGAGATCACCTTGAGAGAAGAAATCTTCCAACTGGCTTAACTTTTTCAGTCCTGACTGTGTTCCAGTGGTTGTAAATCTCCAACCCGGGTATCATTTTTATTTACACACCATTTGTAAACTTGAACATATCTAATTTGCTAGTTTTTTTCCCCATTAATTAGAAGGAACAAACACATTATTCATCTGTTTTGAGAATTCACTTTCTGAACGTTTGCAAACAAATTGGGTCAATTACTTTTTTTCTTAACATGTAGGAAGTGTTAAGACTGATCCTCAGCTGAAGTTTTCAAATCTCAGCTGAGGACTCTACTGTAGAGAGTGGGTAGGACTTGAGTCAACATTTTCATTGTGCTCTTTCAATTCAAATCTGAAAAAAGTGGAGCAAAAAAGTAGTTTACCTCATACAATACTGTTTGTAATAGTTGTATTACAACTGTACAGTGTTACAGTTGTCCTGTAATCCATTACATTTTAAATAAGTTATATCAAAGACTCCAAGCTTGTGATAAAAGTGAATAAATGAATTTCTCTGTACTTTCGCTTTCATATATAAATCCAGCAATGACTGAGGATGCAAATAGAACTAATTTCCGAATGAAACTCAATGCAGTGAAAATGTGGCAGGTAATCTATGATCTCCTTATCATAAGACCATATAACCATAGAGTTTTCTAAAAACCTCTGGATACTGTCAGAACTTCAGAACATGGGACCCAGAGGTGAAGCAGACGGGAAATGCCAATGAGTGTGTGAGTCACTAACCTGGTTCAGTCCGAGCCCAGAAGACGGAGTTAAGTCCGGAGGGTTTGTTTGGGCGTAGCTTGCGATGCAAGCCCATTCCAGAGGTCCAGGAGAGAGGCAGAGCAGCACGAGCAGAAGCTAGAGCATGCAGAGGAGCAAAAGATTCCAAAGAGAGATAATCCGAAGGCAGAGTCAAAGCAGGAAAAGATTTCCAGGCCAGAAGTTGAGCAGTTTTAAGTCAGAAGACAGGTCCAAGGTTATTAGCAGGCAGATTCCAGGTAATGGTCAGAAAACAAATCAGGCAACAGAGCAACACAGAGGCAACCAAAACTTAGAAGTCCAGGGACGGAAACTAGTCAGGATCAGATAATCAGAGACTCACAGATGGCTAGAAAACTCTCACACTCAGCTAGAGAATAAGATAATCTGCCCATGATGACTGCATTCAAATACCGTAAATAGAGGCAGGAGCAGGTGGATCAGATGAGAGGTAATGAGAAACGGGGCAGAATTGGACAGGTGAATTAAATGAGTAATTAAACCAGTCATCTGTGCCAAGGTCATGAGAGATACAAATAAACCCTTTAGTCTCTTTGGATAAAAATAAAGTTTGCATTTCACTTGGAAATCAGAAAATCTGGATAGAGAGACTTGAGGAACAAGATCCAAAACATTTTCAGTTCTTACCATTTTCCAATGTAAGTACATTAATCCACCTGGATTTTTTTATTTCTTCATGCTGTATGGTGACGAGCTTCTTAGTGTAAGTGTAAGTTGGTGTAATGTAAGTGCCTCAGTGTTCTGTAATGTTTGTAGGATTAGTTTGATAGTGCTGTTTGCACACACTACAACTGCTGATCTGAAAAAAAAGCTAGTTAAAGAAAAGGTTTCCATTCCAGGGCATCAGAGGAAGATAGCAACTTTCAGAGGAAAATTTACTTTTAAGAGAAGTTTTATTTTTTTACGTAGTCAACAATCTTCTGAGAGTATAGAGAAATCTTACTTGAGTAAAATTTACTCTATGAACCAAAAGTAACTTGAGTTATTTGGATATCAGAAACAATATACAGAGGCTGTCACAGCAAGGCTCTTTATCCGTTCCTGACATAACATATTATATACACTTGTTTTATAAGTTTTTGTTGAAAAAAAAATATTTGGAAAATTGTTTTATGTTATTCATGTGTATTTTTTATTTGAAACTGTTACTTTTAAAGAGCAGAGATTGTGCATAACTGTCTTATCACATAATTTTAAACAATAAATCAGATGCTTTAAGTTACCAAGTATTTTTTTTTTCTCTTACTTGTTTTATTCCTTGGATCAATTTTTTTTTTTGGATCATTTTAAAGTAGTGCTAGTGTTGAGTAAAATTTTTAGGTACTCCACCCATCCTCTTCACAGTAGCATCTGACCAGCATGGGAAGGAGGTGATAGGCTGTTGTCTATGTCCTGCCAACAGGTCTTTAACAGTGGCGCCACCAGGGGGTGGCCAGGGGTGGCTGGTTACACTCACCAGTGTAAATTGTAGTGGCATCAGTTTAGCATCCCATTATGCACAGCCAGCAACGTAACATTAAAAATCTCACAATTAACCAAGTTATAGATATAGAGTAAGTGTTTACTTAAGTCTTTATGATTTCTACAAGCAGGTTTACCACAATATTAGATTCAACCTCCCCCCTATGAAACATTTCTGCAATTCTTGGTATTCAAGCATTACAAATCCTACTCAACACGTGATAACCAGAGTTAACTGCAGAATAAAATGTGTTTTAATCAATCAATCAATCAATCAATCTTTATTTCAGACACAAAAGAGGTCCATAGTAGGAGTGTAAGTAAGAGTAAGAAGTGTTTTGGTAATTTTCTTACATATGGGGTACAGTATAAAGTGAAACAGTCAGGTTTTTCAATCAAACGTTAATCACAGAGAAGCATTGTTGCNAACCCTAATTATTAACCTTCAAAAATATGGATTAAGATCTTGGTTAAAGGGGATCTATGTATTATTTAAAAAAATGACAATAAAACCCATTTCCAATTTTCAATCAGAACGTTTAATTTTCTCTATAAAACCAAGACATTCCAAGCGGCAATAGTGTAAAAGTAGCTAAAAACCACCAATTTCCACTTGTTTTATGGTTGTCATGTCATTTCATAAACAAAGCACGGGGAAAATATTCAAACACAAAATGACGACATGGAAAACAAAAAATGCTCCACAGCTAATCAGCAACTGCCAGCATGGTAACAGCAAGCATTACAAACTCGAGTTTGAAGCAGCCATTCAATCATTAATGCACGCTGCATGCACGACCAAAGCCAGCAAGCGAACAGCTCCAAAGTTAATATAAATGAGGGCGTACCTGTATGAGTGAGGCTGTGTCTCTCCAGCTGGTAACGCTGAATGAATCTCATGTCACACATGGTACAAGCATATGGCTTCACCCCTAAAACACAACAAAATTAGACAAATTCAACTTCAAGACAAAAAAATAAATTCAAAATTTTTAATGGCATGCTTTAATAATAATAAGGGTGTTTGAGGCATTACACTAACACAAGCTACAGAGAGCAGTGTGGATAAGCTTTTTTAGTTTAAAGCAATTGGTCTCATTTTGCTGAAGATTTCCTTACAAAGAGACGGTCAGAAACTTTAGAATTTGACTAAATCTTCATAGCGACTGCCTCGATAACTGCTCTTGATATTCCTTGAGTGTAGTGTAATGTGTCTTTCATTAAAAAGCAATGATCAACGATGTGCATGCAAAGTTGCATTACAGTGTTAAAAGTCAAGGTGACTGACGGAATCACTTCTTCAGTGGACAGTTTTCCAACAAAGCCTAAAATTTCTCTTTAACAGAGGAAAATAATTTATATAATTGAAGTATGGAGAAGGGATTATATATCATTTTGTATCATCATAAAGTTTGTTTTTTTTCTTTTGGAAATGGGAAAACTTTCACAGTGAAAAAATTAATTGATCATACCAGTATGAGTGAGGGTGTGTCTTGCCAAATGGTAACGCTGGAAGAACCTCATGTCACACATGGAGCAAGCGTATGGCTTCACCCCTATATGCATACAGTACCAGAATTTAGAAAAAAAAAAAAAAAAACAACAACAACAAAACATTTATTAAGGTTAACGCGGTAGTGGGCGTCTCCAGATCAGAATGATAATGGACTAACAGTCTCCTATGCCTTTCCAGTTTAATCGCAGCTCTGGTTTTTCGGGGGGGTAGAGGAAGATGAGCCCTTTCTCTTCGACTGAGGGGGGGTTTGCTGCTGTTGCTGTGTGGGGGAGTGGGCTACATCCTGTGGCGTTTCCTGTGTTTGTAAACTAGACGCTACAGAAGACGTCGGCGAGCAAAGCTGGTACGTAGAAGAAATGGATATATTTTTACGTTTTTGTGTAATATCAGTCATGCATTTTGATCAATTTTCTGCCTTGTTGCAAACCGTGCAGATGGAAAAGGCAGTGAAGGAGGTTATAGGTTGTTACAACGCCAGTGTTAGTCTGGGCTGGGATGCTAACAAATGTTAGCTCAATGGTGGGGAGGGGGAGGCACTTCTAACGACGGCCATCACGAATGTCTTTATAGCCCAGACGAGTCTGGAACCACTTGAGCTTTTGTTTTCATGTCTGGTAGTCAAACGAGGGGACAAATCGAGTGATTTTGTTTGTGAGGTATATTTTCTGGTTAAACGCTGGTATTAAACCAGTGTAATGGCTGGTTCAGAATCTGCTCGCCTTTAACATTAGAGTGGGCGAGGGCGCCACCGAGTAGCTAGCTGCTGGCTAGCTGGTGTTAGCTAGTTCTAGCTAGCTAGCTGATGTTAGCTGGCTAGCAAGCTAGCCTTCAACGGGAGCCAAACTAGCGGTCGGTCCGGTGGCAGAACGAAGGCCACTACTGTCTGGGTTGAAAATGTATATAAATCCAGCATATAGTTGGTTTCGGCATTAAAAAAATAAATATATAAAAGTAAAAAATACAGTAAACAAAACGTTATCTTATCACTTTTTCTGTACTTATTAAACTAGCATTAGCCTAAGCGGTTCATTATGTACCTATGTTAGCTCGTTCATGTTGGTTAACCATCTGGAAAGCATTATGAGAGACGTTTTTGATGAAAAACACAATTTAATCACCAAACTATTATAACAACCCTAAAAATCGCGTTTCTGTTTTAAACTGATTGCCACGTCGTTTTAATTATTGAAGGGACGTTTTATTCGAGTGTTGTTTTTGTAAATTAGTGTTAACTAATGGTTATTACAATAGGGGATGCTTAACAACTAGACAAATCGTGTTTTCATTAGTTTATAAATCAAGGCACAGCAATGCTACAGAGCAGCCAATAACATGTTTTAAAAGCTCTGATTTTTTTTATCCTTTTTTTGTCTGATGTTTAACCCAGAGCACTGTGCTATCAAAACTTTCAGGGTGTTTGCTGATATACATTTTAGACTAAAGGGCTTGAAAGGAAGTTTTAGATGAAGCAAGCCACAACCTCAATTTAAAGAATAAATTATGGGACAATTTATGCCGCCACAACAATGTTAGTAAAACTAGATTAAATAATAAATATTCCAGCTATTGTCATACAACATCAAGCAGATGATGATAAACTGTCAGGGGTCAATGCAACAGCACATAATTAACTTATGGTAAAACCTTAATATATAGGTTTGTTACGGTGGAATAAAGCTGTCCTTAAGCAAAGTTATGTACGGGTATTATTTTATTTTAATTTGAAAAGTTTATTCCTGAAATGTGGCTGCCTTTGTTTACATTCATGATTTATTGATTAATCTGGTGGTGTGATTAAAAAAACACCAAAAACAATACTCCATTCATCTTAATATAAATTAAAAATGGTTTTTGTCATACAGAAATTGCGATGTGTTCTGCTAAAGGTAATGAAAAAAAAAAGATTCAACGGGGTAATGTTACTTTAACAGCATCAAACTACCAGTCATAGGCTTCCCCTGCTGATTTTAAATTACTTGTGATCAATAGATTTTTTTTCTCTCTAAGATTTTTGTTTTCAATGTTTGTAATATTCCATTTTATTCTTCTTGTAATATTTCCTTCTTCTCAATCATTACTGAAATCTATATGTTGTTTAATTTTAGCTGTTTTTATAATCTGGAAATTTTATGCAGAGATTTTGCCTGTTAAAAATGAAATGAGCTTATTGTTAGAATAGATTCATTACCTCAGTCTTTTGTCTAAAGAAAAACCATCTTTGTACATTAACCTGATTTGTGCTGTGTGTCCGTAAGGGCAGCCAATGAAGCAGTCGTAACTATATGTCTGTCTGTTTCATCCACATCCTCCTCTTCCTCAGTTTTAGTACTAGATGAGTGAGGTGGGTGTGGCTTCCCACCAGCCCGACCATCCTGACTGACGGATCTGTGGATGACCTTGTCCCCACCCCTGTCCCTGCGCTCACATATACCACAGCAATGTCACATCTGCCCAGCAGCTCAGTCCGCGACCATATGAAATGGGTTTGTTTTGACAACACCAAAGTGGTTACAAATAGTTTTACTTGCAGCCTTGTGTCACTCAGGATGTTGTCGGCGTACGCCGCTACATGAACGTTACTGTCTTAGACAGAAATTGTTTCAATTTGCAGTTTATTTTTATGATTTGATAAAGTTTTTAAAGTGTTGCTCTTTGTGTGTTTTTTATTTTATTTTTATGTTTCAACCTTGTGCAGGCGGGGCTACTTGGCTGCGAAGCTGTCCTCTCCAGCATGGCCCTGATGCAGGCCAGCACTATGGCTGCTCCACCTAAAAAAATGATGGCTCCCCTTGGTCACGCACCACCTCAGAGAGAAGGACCTGACCGTACTCCCCAGAGCCATATGATCCTCCCTTCTGGAATGAGCTGTCCTCCCCTGGTTAGATCTCACATTGGAAAATTCAACAAGATGTGGGGGGTTATTAGCTAGCCTATTGATGGTGTAAAGACTGCATACTTTTATATATTCTGTGGTTATTCTCATAGAAGATTGATAGTGAAAGTAATTCTAAGTAATTCTAATTCTTTTTGTTTTATAATTTGATTTCTTACAAATGTAAACACAAGATTGACCACAAGGTCTACATTATTATATTACTTATAAAGCAGGCCAATATGTAAAAAAAAAAAAAAAATCATAGATCAAGTTTTTTCTGTAGGTAGTTGCTACAAAATTACTGTATGATAAAGGGAAAAGGGTTAGGGTTACTGCTTGGTTTTAAGACCTGGTTGGAAGTGTTGATACAGAATTTAAAAGATGAGAAATAATTCACTTTCTTGTGTTCTGTAGCTTATCCGGAAGGAAGGTGATTTCCAAGCACCCCGCCTGTTGGATGAGAAGGACATGAGGACCAACGAAGACATGCAGCAGAAAAAAAAGAACAGGAAATCAGTAACGCCCTGTAAAGTGAGAGAACAAGAGGGAAGGGGGGGGAAGGTCAGTAGCCTGGATTGTTGGAATTGTTGGGGATTTTTTATTTTTTTTAAATGATTGTAAATCTAGCTCCCTGTCCATGAACCGTGATCACTATTTCAATTGGCTGATTCGCTGCTGCCTTGGATCATCCAAGGGTGCACATTTTGTTTGTGTGGGGGTGGGGGGAGGAGCACAGGAAAGATATGGAGGGGGTGGGTGGAGGTTCTCTGGAGAGGAAGGGGGGGAGGGGAGAGAAGTGGAGCACAATGACTGCAGTTGTGAGCATGACTGGGGGAGCAGTAACGTGAGGGCTCCAGGGCATTTGACGTGATTGTGGGAGAGTTTTGGAATAATATTAAAACTGCGCAAAGAGAAACATCTAAATTACACATCTAAAGTCCTCTTTGTTTGTTGATCTGTTTTATGTGAAATAAAACATTTGGCATTTATGGCGATGCTGTGTTAAAACGGTCAGATTACAGGTCTTACTCATTAATTAAAAGAATATTCAGTTTTATTAATTCTACTCAACGAGAGAAAATGATTTGTTACATGCAGTAAAACTGCATTTACATTGGACTTTGGATAAGGGCTTACAGCTAATGGAAACCCAATAAGGGAAACACCTAAAGCATACATACAGTGGGCCCCGGTGATCAGGGTTTAAGGCCACTGCCATAGAGAATCAGTGGAAGATGGGAGACCCAACTGTGCCGATAAGCCGAAGGTCACTGACCCCCCTTTTGAGTGCATGCAGTTTGCTTCACATGGATAAACTTTTAAATGGCTTCAAAATTTCTGAAGAAAACCTTTGGGTTTTCAGTAGAAAATAAATAAGCATGTGAAATATATCAGTTATCATGTAAAGAATCTATTTAATGAGCTTAACACTTTATTTGGAAAAATAAAGCAAACAGTTTTCTGGGATGTTCATATTTTCTAGAAATACATATGCATGTTTTCATTCTAGTTAACTAGATATTATATATTTGTATATTACTCTAAAGCCTGTGTTTTGTGTATTTTTGTTTTCTTTTACTTTTTTTCTTTTTTGTTTCTTTCCTATAGGGCACAGGTGGAGATGAAAACGGTCCTGCGTCCAAAGTACAAAAAAATTTTATTTGTGATCACTGTTACGGAGCTTTTAGAAGTGGATATCACCTTAAGAGACATATCCTCATTCATACAGGTATGATAAACTCTTCTTGCAGCTTGACCTTTTTTTTAAACTAGAAAAGCTTTTATTTTGTTGCATATTAAAATTGATTTCTGAAAGAAAGTTTAAAACTCTTAAGTTGGACTCTAAAAGTTTGCTTTAGCTTTGAGCTTTTCCAGTGGCCTGCTAAAAGCCTTTGTTTGGTAATAGCTTTGCCTAACAGCTGACTGGTATCTGTGGGGCACTTGAACTAAAACTGGTGCTCTTCGGTTTAGGGGAGAAGCCGTATGCTTGTGCCGTATGTGACATGAGGTTTATTCAGCGTTACCACCTGGAGAGACACAGCCTCATTCACACGGGTATGCGTCCTCAGCCGTACCCATTTTACATAAATCTGACTACGCTTGTAGTCTTTCACATTAATCAAGGGACAGATGCTGACGATTCATTTTTGTCTGTGGACTGTAATTTCCAACAAAGCCATTTCACTAAATCTTATTTATTCCAAACTTTTTATTTGTCCCCACTACCAGAAAACAGTAAATTGAAGCCATTGTGGTCCTGTAGTCCAGAGTCCATTATTAAAAACTCTGTTTCTGAAGTTCTTGTGGAGTTTTTAAGGAGCTCTGACTTTGTTTTTCATATATACTGGAGTAGTAGAAATATGATGAGTATTCCTTGTTTTCGGCACTTTGATGATTTCTAAAGGTTTTTGTTGAAAAGAAATTTTAGCAGAAACTGATTGCTTTTCAGACTCTACAAATACATTTACAGTGTAGATCTTATTGTTCTACGTAACTGTAAACATTCTATGATTTGGTCTGCAAATAAAAAAAGAAGCTCATAGTATATTAGCTGGTATTGGGTCAGGGTCTAAAAACCTTTAGCACAATTGCATTTTATTATTGTATTTACACAACAATAAAGATTCTACTGTGTAACATATTTAAGCTGCGCTTTTTTAAAAGCTGAAAAGCTACAATAATATTTGAAGTGGGTGGACAGTATAGACATAGCATTTATAGTGATACTTTGTGGCTATAAGTCTGTAAGTGAATTCACTTAGGGCTTCACAATAAAACAAAATCTATCCACTATAAAACAGGCTAGATAGCTACAGCAGGAGTTCTGTTTGATATTGTTTCACTGCAGCAAAATGTATTAAAATATTTTTTCAGTCACTTTTTTATTGCTGGGATTTATTGATGATCTCATGGATCACATCGTGGAAACAAATAGTCCATACATAAAAGCTGAGATCCTAAACGCACCATTTGGGTATATTTTTAAGTATATATTAGTGTACCAATTGTATCAAAGGATGGCTGATTCCTTTTAGTATAATACAATAATATTAATGGATGGAATATTTACCCACATCCCAAATTCCTACAGAAACTATTTTATTACTGTAGTTATAATAGAATTTGATTGCACCATTATAACTGCAGTGATCAATGTTAATAAATAGTATTTGTTTTATAGCGATATGTAACAAATGTTTTCAGTTTTACCTTAAGCTCTTTTGAACTCTGTTAGATTCAAATGAGCACAACTGAGGATAGTAGGGAATACTCTTAAAACTGTGTAAGTAAAATTATCGTTTTCTTAATTTAGACCATTCTGTTTATGAAGAATTCTGATGTCGAATTCTAGAAAAGCTGAAATTAAATCACTCTGCACCTTTTTGATTCAAAGATATGAGCAGATCAATAGAAAACAATTAGACATTCTGCGCTATCCACACCTCACCTCACACATTTGACCACATGTATTCTCCAATATGTTGTTTCTGCTTTGGCCTCAATGGCAAGATATTAACCCCCCCTGTGCTTTAACAAGTGAATTAAGTTTATGGAGAAGACTTTTTGATAGTGGACTTGACTATGGACCTTTACTTGTGGACCCAAGTGTACAGATTGTAAAACTGTTAAAGCACAGGCAATGCAGTATATTGCCCTTATATGCTTCATTTTGTGTTGACAGCATCTGCATTGTGAGCAAAGTAAATGCTCTCAATTTTTATTGGTGTACAGTTAAAATTGAGAACATTATTTTAGAGATGTGTGTATAATAATCATTAAAGACCATCTGGGTAAGTCAACCCTCTCCGTAAAAAAATAAATGCTTAACTAACTTTGGCCTGTAGTATTAATCCACATTGATTTAGATGACATCTTTTACAAGTTTTTATTTTTGCCAACACTGCATCTGTTTTTCCTGCATATATATTTTACACGTTTTCTTGCTTTTTTTCATTTCTTTTAAAGTTATTCCCTACTTACCAGACTGCCTAGCTAATACTTGTATGCTCTGTGTGTGTAGGGGTGAAGCCGTTTGCTTGCTCCATGTGTGACATGAGGTTTTTCCAGCGTTACCACCTGGAGAGACACAGGCTCACTCATACGGGTATGCGTTTTTTTACCGTACCCAGGTTTTTGTTTAGCGTGATTGGGTAGACTCTAAAGTCAGTGGATTTCTTTTTGTTTTATAGGCAAGTCTGACTTCTATCAAACATAAAAACAGAGATAAACACACAGGCTGAAAGCAACAGGCAGGCTGTAGGAATTGATTTGAGGTATAAAAAAAATTAAAACAAAAACAAATAAACAAGGAAGCCCTTAGTAACAAGGGTCTGACCTCTTGTTACTAAGGCTTAAAAGATCAGCTTGAAAACCAGCTTTTGGGCGCCTTAGAGTTGCAGTTATTCTGGTTGTAGTAGGTGAAGGCTTACATATTTCTGTCCTCATTTTCAGCTTTGTATTTTTAGATGTTCTTTCTTACACACTGAGCATTTGTAGATGTAAATTTGGAAAGAAATTAACAGTAGTTGGAACTATCAGCCTCAAAACAAGTTCAGAACCGAATGAAATTAACCCCAATATTACGTAAACACACTTTTAACATTACGTTAGATTTTATTTTATTTTTGACTTTGAGAAAATGTTTCATCTGGCTAGGAGTTCAATCGCATTAATAGAGTAGAATCCTGTTTGTTAATCTGTGTTTTAAGAAATCCACCTTGGTGGCCCTTTTGACTCTGAAAGACATTCCACTAACTTCCAAAAATATGCACAACCTAACACTGTCCCACCAACTAACGTCATGACTGAGTCCGTTTTCATATTAATGCTTTTTTTTAAAATACATTTTAGCAGAAAACACATCTACATATAATACATATTCCCCTTTAGCTAAAGTTTCTTAAGTCTTGAAAGGCTTTCGACCTAAGGTCCTGAGGAGGACAGCTGACGACGGGATGACACTTACCTGGGCGAGAAGCTTTTTGCTTTTGAGCAGATTTAGATCCAGTGTGTCCACTCTGTAAACACATACAGTAAAAGGAGCTCCTTTTTTTTTCAGGGTCAAAGTTCAAATCCAAGGAGGGCGTCTCTACATTGTTCTTTGGAAATCATAATTTAAATTTTGCAACAGTTGTAATATTAATGAGCTTCCAATTCATGTTTGAACCAGATGTTACCCTCCCAGATTAAGCGTGAGAAATGTTTCTAATTAAGGGTAGCATGGCAATCATGGCAATGTAGCTTAATAACCCTTCTGTTTTGTGATGTACATTTAATTTGAAAGTTTATAATATCTATATTGCTCATAATTTACCAAACACCATTCTAATTAACCTAAATTCTGAAATGAAAGCCTACTGGATCAAGCCTATTTAGTTGGTAGGAAGTCCCTCTTATCCCAAAGTGACGTCGTAGCTAATTTCTTGATAATCTGTGTATGTAGGGGTGAAGCCGTACGCTTGCTCCATGTGCGACATGAGGTTCTTCCAACGTTACCATCTGGCGAGACACACCCTCACTCATACCGGTATGCGTCTGCTCACTCTAGATGTTCCCACCTGAAGCAAAGATTTATCTGTTGTCAAAAAGCTAAAAGGACAGGCTTTTCCAGACGCATGGAGATGTATCCAGACATGTAACAGATTAGGAAAATTCTAACTTTTCATTATTTTCTCTAAATGTAACAATATGTTTACCTAATTAGCATGTGTTCTGCGTAATTGTTATATCTTCTATGTTTTTTTTTTATGAGTAAAACCCTGACAATATAGCTAGGCACTAGAAAAATGGCAATAAAGTTGTGCAAATGTTTAACTAAAGAGCAGGGAGTGATCAAATGCCTAAACTTTTTTTTTTTGTTCAGTGATTATTTACATACTTTTGTATGTGTAGGGGTGAAGCCATACGCTTGCTCCGTGTGTGATATGAGATTTTTCCAACGCCACCACTTGGCACGACACAGCCTCACTCACACGGGTATGGTTTCACCCTCCTTCTCTTCAACAGTGCCCAAATACCCAAATTTCTTAGTCGTGTGTGACTTAGAGGTGCCTCACTGTTCCTATATACAAGAAGTAAATCAGAGTTTCTGTTTAAACCATTAAAACCAGCATGTTTAGCAGCTAAACACTCCAGTTAATGCTGTAAAGTCTTCCTGACTGGATTAAAAAGACTTTCTCTCTATGAACACTTTAGTTTTAAGAATATATTTCAATTATTGTCTCTGTTTAATGAATGTCGACGGATTAGAAAATATTTGTTGGATGTATAGTTTGTGTCAGATCTGTTCCCTCTTGGCATGTCTGGATACATAATATACAGGTGCATCTCAGTAAATTATTATAAGAATATTCTAATAATGAAAAACAGAATTTTATTTAAACAAACTAATTTGAGATTCTATATTTTTTCCACACATAGCCCTATTTTCTAGGTTTATCTCTTATATTTGATAATTATGGTTAAAAGCTAATGAAAATCTAAAAGGCAGTTTTTCATAAAAAATGGCTTTAAATACAGAAATCCTCCCTACTAATGAGTATAACAACACAGTTTATGCAATCACATTTGGTTAGGGTTCATTTTGATTTCCCAAACTTATTTGATTTATTCCAGACTCTTGAACTTCTAAGTACATACCATTTTTTATTTATCTTTAATTGCTCTATCTAGTTGCAGTCTAGTCCTTATCCTCCTTAGCCCAGGTTGGTCCCTTTCGGATGTGGTATGTGGTGAAGGAGTGACTTTAAAAACAAGGATTGTGACGTTGCCAGCCCATATCTTTAGTTCACCTGAGCCTTGTGCTGAGTGGACGTGGTTTCCCAATTCTCTCATGGCTGCATCGTTTTTCTTTCCACTTAACATTCCATTACAGTGCTTAAACAAAAATCTTTTTTTTGGCTTATCCTCCTTGTGGAGAGTGTCAACGACTGTCTGCTGGACAGAGGTTGCCCCCTGATTGCATTGAGGCCATGATATGAGATCAATACTTTTTTAAATATAGGTTTTCATTAGCTGTAAACCATAATAATCTGATTAAAACACTTGAGAGATTTGTGTGTAATGAATCCCCAGAGTTACAGTATTTGAATCAAAGTTCCTAAAAGTAAAAAGCATTGTTCAGTGATAATTTAATGAGGAGCAGCTGTAAGTATGTGTGTCCCGTGAGCTCTTTTTGTTTGATTTTCATATTTTTTTTCACCCAAGAACCCTTTGCTTTGTGTGTTCAGGGGTGAAGCCATATGCTTGCTCCATGTGTGACATGAGATTTTTCCAGAGATACCACCTGGCAAGACACACTCTCACTCACACGGGTAGAAGTTTTACTTACCCTCTTTCTTGTCCGTACTAGTAGGAGTTAAAGACATTTGCTGTTGATAATAGGGCTCATCTGTATGTGAGAACCAATCTAGTTTTTATTTGTTGTTGTTTAGCTGGTTTTGTTCTAGATATTTAGCTATCATATATTGTCTTATTTGCAAGCTGCTTTTTAGTTTTGACACACTTGGTTAGTTAATCAGCTTTT